TGGAGGCGTCAACCACTTCTTTCGTGCCTTTTGCTACTGCTAAATTGCAATTCCCTTTAAGATCATTGTTAAACGTTTCCTCTTTGCCATCACCGGTCACCTTCTCTTATGGCTTCACATACAAAAACATAAAAGAATAGGCCATTCTAGAGAAATATTTTTTTTCCCTTGAGGATTTTAGTCAAATTCACAATTTTATGAGAGGCGTCGACCACTTCTTTCGTGCCTTTTGCCATTGCTAAATTGCAATTCCCTTTAAGATCGTTGTTACACATTTCCTCTTTGCTATCACCTTCTCTTATGGCTTCAAATACAAAAACATAAAAGAAAAGGCCATTCTAAAGAAGTAATTTTTTTGCCTTGAGGATTTTAGTCAAATTCACAATTTTATGACTTACATGAAATTCTTAGTTTTGTGTTTTCTACCACAAGTGCCATCCCTTGTTCGTTCTTTCACTTTACCTTTACCTTCACTGATTTTACAGACATTTGTTCGAGTGTATGTAATAATAATAACAGTTTGACCGTGATCATGTTGCCTCGCTGTTGGGTTGTGATAGAGAACATTTTTGTTCCCCTCCCAGTAGCAGTCGCCGAGACTACTCGGTTTCTTCAACCCGATAGGACGCATTGACGCGCTCACTGGAAAAGAAACGTCGATTTGGACACGCCTCCTCCCAGTAGCTGTCGCCGAGACTACTCGGGTTTCTTCAACCTGATAGGACGCATTGACACGCTCACTGGAAAAGAAACGTCGATTTGGACACGCCGTACAATAAAATCTTGTGCAAATATAATTGTCATTGTAATTCCTACATGGACCCGTACAGCATGTTCTCATGCCCTTTACTGCTCAAACAGATTGGAACTTTGTCACATATGTGAACCTCTTAGGTTGCCTTGTTTGGAAAGTCGCTTGCATAATAGCCATCTTTATCTGTGTGTCAATAACCCTGAGAGGGAGTGGCTGCTACGCAGGGAAAAGAAACGCTTGGGGTGCTGTGATCTTCCTTTTGAATGTCGGCAGGCTCTCGATGAAGGGAATGTGCGGTTATTTTGGTCAGGGGACAATAAACTAGATGATACATAGATAGTGGTTAAGCTCGCTGACAAATACGCCATCTGATTGACACGTGTTGCGCATAGAAAGGCAGAGCGTGGGTCCAATTTTTTTTTTTTTTTTTAAATACTAAACGCTCGTTGTTGAACAATCAAGAAAGGAGGTTGTTCTATTGTTATTTTATGTGGTAGCCTGGCTTCACTTCTATGGAATAGATGTGGGATATACCGTCCCCTTCTGACCAGTCAATCTTAGTTGTTTTTTGTTTACGCCTCTTACGTCTCTCTCCGCACTCTCCAGGCGACTGTCTTACATCAGGTCTCCGAAGCATTTATAGCAAAGCTTTTGAAGCTTAGGACTCCCACCGTGGCCAAATATAGTAAACGTGAATCCAGCAGCCATGTGAGCGTGCGTGTGCGTGCGCGCGGATGGCCGTGTGCGCTTGTGTTTTCCAGAGTAAATGGCTCTGGGGCAAAAACGTGTTTGTTATTGTTCCCAGCGCTTGGCCTGCAGACAACACTGCCAATTAAAGGGGCGGTTTTATGTGTGAAGAGCAGGAAGTGTTGCCGTGTGTGGCCGCTCGCGATTGGCTCGCCGGTCTTTCCCAAGGTTCCTTCCCTGTTGACTGAGAAGCCGGGGCTCTTTATTGCCGTGAGCCTGATGAAAGGTAAACACAACAAACCTTTGATTAGGCTTTGCATTTAAAACCCTTTACTGGAACTGCACGTGCGTAAGCGGCGGGCAAATTAGTGCGGGGCACCGAGATTTACGTGTGTGCGTGTGCATGTGTGTGTGCGTGTGTGTGTGTGCGTGTGTGTGTGAGTGTGTGTGGGGGTGTGTGGTGGCGTGTGTGTTGCGTGTGCGTGTGTGTGTGTGTGTGTGTGTGTGTGCGTGTGTGTGTGTGTTTACCCTAATGAGTGATAAAGCTCTTTTGGAATCTCTCCTCTGTTGCGAAATCATTCGCCCATCCATGCCTTCTTCCCTCCATCCCCCATCCAAGCCAGCATAAAAACAAAACAAGGCGCATGAATGAAAGTGGGAGGGGTTGGCTGGCCTAGAAAGGCAGGCAGGCAGATAGAGCAAGAGATAGTGGTGCAGGGTGAGGCGGTGGCAGAGAAGAGGAAAACAGAGGAGGAGGAGGAGGCCAGCAATGAATGAGCGAGCTGAACGGAGCATGTTTGGCATAGCGACTAGCTTGTGGGGCTGGGCAGGAGTCACTGGTTGTGGCGCTCTTATACTCTTGACGCCACATCCCTGCCTACATTATAAATTAGGAGAGCACGAGAAATCCCCCGAGCAGTCTGTCAATATTATTCTTAAAGCGTGGTGCAGAGTAAACAACACTTTTCATGACCTTGTATTCATGCATCTTAAGCAAAGCAGGAGACTTGTACATGCTCAAATTCTCCTTAAGTAGCATCAGTAGCAGGGTCTTTTCAAGCTTGTTGACTCCGCTGCCCCCTGTCTGCCACAGCAAGGCCAGGGTTAACCCTGGGCGGCTCTCTTGCCTGACATGGAAGAGGCCATTGAATAGCTGCCTCCCCCATCCAGCAAACACATTGGCTAAGACTGAGGGTGGATCTAGGGCTCGAGAGGTACTCCGGCATGGAGTCTCGACTGGAGCCGGATTGGCAAGCGCAGCATGTACACACACTGCAGACAGTCGTGAGGGGGGGAGGGCGCAGCATTTACCTCAGCCTCGCGCAAGTGGCGGCTTTTGTAGCTCAGAAAATCTGCAGCGACCCTTGCTTTAAACTTAGGTTACGTTTCTTCAGCCACTCCTTTTCTCATTGTTTTTTACTTTGCCCTTCGAAAGCGTTTCTCTCTCCTGCCATGACCCCATCTGTCCTTTTCTTTTGCACAGGCAGCACAACAGGCAGGCCTCCCGGAGCTGTGGAAGAGGGCGGGTGGGTTGGGGGGCTGTTCCTGACTGTATCTTTGGCAATGTGTGCTCATGTGAGCCACAATGAGTTGGCATCCCACTGAGGCTAACATTGAGTGCCACTATTGTCCTATAGCTCATTTACTGTGTTACAACACTTCCTAAACAACCTTTTTGTTCATATAGTTTCAAATGGTTTCAAATTCTATGGGATGAATCATAACCTCGAAAGTCAACCACAATCCATTCATCCGAGTGGTACTCAAATAAACCACAGTAGTCACATAAGCGGAATTGAGGGGAAAAAAAACAGGAAGTACAAACTTAGCAAAATCAAACTAACAACTGGCTCTAAACATGTCTTAACAGAAGCTAATGCTGCTCAGTCTGCTCAGCCGTTCTGGTGTCTGCTAGTGCTCACTCAAAGACACCGAAACACACTGGAACGTTGGATAAAAGTCTCGGACACCACAAGAATCTTTCTGCTTTAAATGGGCCTGTTTATGTCCCGGTAACTAATGGGTGGATTTGTTTCTTCTTTCATCTTTCTTCCCTTTTTTTAATAAATTCCATCTTGGCGATGTAGACACTATTAATATGACTTGTATGTCCGTTATGGTTTGCTAAAATGTACCAACCTTTTCTTTGGTGCACCACCACAAAACGTTAGTTGTGTTTTTTGTTTTTTTTCCCTGACGTTTTTGGCCTTAACATTCAAGAAATTGGCAATTGTTCTTTTCATCGTAAGCACCGTAGCTTTAGCCACTTTGGATCTGATGGATGTAAGTCATTGACATAGGCCTGTCATGATAACACATTTTTTTAGAAATTTTTCCCAGAAACTATCATGAGTGATACTTAATGATAATGTCATTGATGTTTTTTATGAAGCTGATTTGATGAGAAATATTGGCAAAAATATATATATATAAATAAAGGCTCTGTCCACAAAAATTGCACAGCAAATATCAGACATTTGGAAGCAATATTTAGAGAGACAGAAATGACTTTAGAAGGCAATATACTGCCAATCACTTTTCAAATTGAGTAAGAAGAAGTGCCAACAACAATCCTTTTGGAGCAGTAACAAATGACATCACAACAAGCAAATCAAAACAACCTGATCTGTATTCAGATTCGTACAGCCTATCAAAAAAAAAAAAAATAGCAGCATTGCTTTCGCAACATGTTGGATGGCTGGCCGCACTGATAGAACTTATTATTATTATTATTATTTTTATTTTGGGCGTACCATTGAAAAATGAAGATGCCTAGACGCTCAAATTGGTCGTCATCTCAAGCCCTGCTGGTTATATAAAACAGGGTAAAAGGGTAGGTATTGAAACATCAATAATAAGCATCCTCTGGGGATGACAAATTAATTTAATGCTGATAAGTAAAGATCCAAGAGTTTGCCAAGTTTTTTTTTCTTTATCTCTTGATTACTGTTTTGTTACCCGAGTCCAACATAGACTTCGTAAACCCTTCCCTTTAAGTGATTTATTATGGATGCCTGTTTTGTTCACAGCCGGTTAGTATGTGCATTTGGTAGAAAGGTCAGTGGCTTGTATGAGATGTAATCAGTCTCTACTGGGCCACAGATGAGGCAATAACCGCCCGTTTATTAGATCATTACAGGGCACCGGTCGAACCTGAAGGCTAATCCAATCACATTGACACGCTGGCTCTCGGACCAAACGTTGTTTCCCGATAGGTCGAATGAAACTTGACACGAGCAAATGACATATAATGTTCAGCCCTTTGGCAATTAAAGTTGTCTCCGTGGCGCTGCTCACTGGGGCTGCGAGCAGTCAGCGGTCATTCACTTCCATTTCTGCATGCGAATTGCAGCTGAAGCTTGTCGAATTGGGTGCGCTTCAGTGGTCATTCGTGTTAGCATGTAATGGTGTCCATTTGGGCAAACTCAATCGGAATGTTCAGCCTTTTGCTTCACCGTTTGGTAGCAGTGCAGATACAGAACGAAAGTTTCTTATTGCCCACCAATGTGCAAGCTGGTCTTAACCACTTCTTTTCCTTCTCCCCTCTGCCTCTCTTTAGTGTGCCTGGACCGCTGTAAGCATGGCGCGTGTAACCTCCGGGGCCAATGCTGCCACGACCAGTGCTTGGGCAGCTGCTCGGAGCCAGGCAACGCCAGCAGCTGCGTGGCCTGCAGGAACCTCCAGCACGCCAACACCTGTGTGGAGAAGTGCCCCGCTGGATACTACGTCTTCCGGGGATGGCGCTGCGTCAGCTTCTCCTTCTGTCAGGTGTGTTGTTGCTCTGATATTACCCATGTAGTAGCCCTTGATAGACTTGAAAATAGTCTTGAAGAATTGTTTTGTCTCTGCCGCTTCTCTCAGGCGCTCCACAACCAGTGTAAGGAGACCAAGAGACTGAACCAGGGCCGGGAGTCTGGTTGCCATGAATACGTCATCCACAACGGCGCCTGCATTCCAGAGTGTCCTTCTGGATACACCACTATAAACTCCTCCATGTATGTCTGACGCACGCACGCACATGCCACCATCAACACTATTGATAGTGGCGACTGGCACATGCTATCAGTCACCCACATCAAGTGTCATACCGTCTCCACAGGCTTGCTGCTACACTGCGTAAACATACTCACTCGCACACAAGCAGTGATGACATTTGGAAGTTGATCAAACACGAAGGCGGATTTTGTTTTGTTTTTTTTCCTTTCCTGAAATAATTCGAAAGGTATTTAGTGGTGACAAAAAGCAAAGGCCAGTGTACACAATGCTCTGCTAACAGCTAGATTTAAAATATTCATGAAATAATGAAATGACTTCTCAATGAGTCTTTATTTTAACTGGAAGTGTTTAGTATTTTCTAATCATCCCATTGATTATGGTGTCTTATAAATCAGGGTTTTGACATTCTGACCTGAGGGCGGCCGAGTCCATCATACTGGCGTATTAATATGGTCGTAAAACCGAAAGGTTACGACCTTTAACATCAACCTATTGCTCTACTAAATGGACCTTTAACATACATTCCTTAACATCCGGTCCGGCTACAGAATCATGATTGTGGATGACTTACCTGCATAAATTAGATCTTGTAACAGTGACAAGAGGAAAGAGCCGTGTTTTTAATGTGAGGATGTGCTCCCGAAAACTCCCTTGACAGTGAAAGTCTCGATGTAAAAATAACCACGGCTACGAAAACGATTAACTCTTATCTCCAACTACAGTACCTAGTGATTTTGAATTACCTCTTGCTCACATTTGTAGTCGTTGGCCAAGCGTTGCTTATTTTGGAAGCCGGCTTGCATTATAATGCCAGATTCATTTTGCTGCCAATAACTGATTAATTTCCTGTTTGAAAGATTACTCAGTGACTTGGAACTTGTTCACTTAGGCGGCTTAAGTGTGATTATTTCATGTGAAGCAAATGTATTAAGGATTTTTTTTTCTTTATTATTTTGGATTTAATCAGAGTTGACGATTGCTGTCGTCAGCATAACCAGTGCAGATGTAGTCCGGTTGACTGAACATTCCTTAGATAAAAATGGGTAAAGAGGCAAACTACAGTGTTTAAAAAAAAAAAAAGTCTGACATGAGTTTTCTGCACGTATTAAAGACCACAGAGAGCACATCAGTGGATTTCTTATTTAGATTGGCCAACTGTTACTAAAAGAGGAGAAATGTTCCAAAACATTCACACAGGTTTGGACAGGAAGCCTAAAATGTATTGGGTAAAGTCCTCCTGTTGTCCCTTTGTGGCTCGGAAAATCTGACATGCGTTTAGCAAGTGGCAGGCCAAGATGAGTCTTTAGTGGGAAGAGGAGCAATTTTTGCTCGTGCAGAGACATTAGTGGGGTGTGGTGAAGGAGGACAGATGGAAGAGGGAATTAAAAGGACAGCGCTTTGTATTTGTGTTCAAATAAGAGAAGGTTGCCCCGAGGATATCTCCATCATGTGGCTAAATAATTTAAAATGTTACCTGGATGCAAGCATTTCTACCCTTGTTCGCTGCGTTGTTTGTTGGTATAAATGTTTTTGCTTGTTTAAAAAAAGAAAGACAACACACTCTGGGCTTTTAGTTCATTTAAGTACATTTCAACCTCCTATAATGGCTTTTTTTTTTCCAACATGAATCGTGTCCACGTGTGCATGAGAGTGAGCGACTTTCTCTCTGATTCCCCAAAAAGAACGTTGCATTAAGAGTCAATCATACTCCCTCAGGCAGACGCAATAGGGGCTTCCTTTGAGAGTGTGTGATTTTGTATGCTCATATGCACGTTATCCAAGAGAATAAGCGTTATAGAAAGCGGATGGCTCGATGGAGGCAATATTTACTGGAACACTTTCACATACTCGCCATATGAAGTTTGGAACACATCTTCATGTTCAATGCAATCAAACATGCTTAAACTTGAATCCCGTCAATCCTCACTCTCTGCGTTTTTTGGGTCGAAGAGCACAAACCAGTGGGACCCAAATTCACAACAGCAGTCACGGAAGTACCCAATAAAAGTTGTTTCCGCACAAAGAGTTGGTCAACAGCGGTTCTGGCTAACAGTCGGGAATCGGAAGGAAAATAGGAAGTAGAAACCAACCAAAAGGATGACATTAAACGTGATTGAACAGAAGCGACTGTCATCCATATGGCTACTGGCAATTATCTCCGACTGGCGTGACACTGGAACACATGTTAATGTTGGGCAAAAGTTCCGGAGAAACCACAATTGTGTTGACTGCTTTCAACGCTTGCCTGCTTTTTCCTCTTGCGACTATTCTTTTGTTGAGAGGAGTTACAAAACGTTTCATGTTTGCTCTCGCCCTTTAGTTTTACTATGGTGCTAGATAGATGAAAGACAGATCAAGTGAAGCAGCGCAGTTGAAAAAAAGAGCATGTTGGTGTGTGACGCATCTGGTTCTGCCAGACCTGCATCCACTCTTCCAGATTTTTCGACCAGACGCCGCTGCCCAAGTCACCGGGTTCAACCGGACAGATAAACACTGGCCCTTTAAGAGCTAGCTGCCTGCTGTCTGCCTCTGTGTCTGTGTTTTTCACTACAACGGGCCAAAACATTCTCTCTTTCTACGCTGCAACTAGAGCGTTACTTCTGAAGGAGCTGAATATATGATTTTCCATGTGGAAGAGGGGGCAAAAAAAAAAAAAGAAGGCACAAAAATACAAGCGAGATTTGCCTCCTACCGTTGTTTAATAGACATCATTGCAGAGTGTTTCCCAATTCGATAATAAGTCATAAAGCGGAAGCACTTATATATGTTATATATATATATTCAGTGGTGGAATTTCCTTTGTTTAAGGATGAATATTCAGGAAACTGTAATGGGCCGTTTGACCCAGTCAGCTGTGACGGAAAAAAATCCACAACTGCATTCCATCGTGAGCCCCAGGTGGCAAGGGGAGTCGAACGGTTGAAGAATTTTGTTTTCTACCGTCTCTTGGGTGTGCTTCCCAGGCAAAGGGCCTCATAATAACATTTGCGTAAACATAATATAAAATGGCAATTAATGCATGCTGGCTTGGTCTTACATTCCAAACCCCTCCCCAGCATTCTTTGTTCGCCATAACCAGCAAACAAAGAAGCTGCTTTGGAAGTGTTGTTACATTCATCACAACAGTGGCCACCACTGGAGATGTCAGTACGGTGAAAGAAGCAAAACTCTACAATACTGCACGGCTTCTTGGTTGAGATCTGAGGCAGACCTTCTGAGGTAAAGCTGTCAAGGCTTCAGTCGGAATTAAAAAGCAGGATTATGTTTCTTTTGAGAGGCCTCATTTGTGTATGAAACGTTATCCTCCATGCGGTTGAACCAGTGTGCGCGTGCGTGTGTGTGTGTGCGCGCGTGTGTGTGCCCGGGCGCTTGCTGGACGAGGTTCGCTTTTGTGAATGGGTTTCCTGAAAGGCGGCACTATGAAGCCCTCCGTTCCGAGTGCATGCGAGCGTATGTGATTACGTGCAGAAGTGCACGTCTGCAGTGTGAGAAGGCCGCTCACGCATTCTGGGGACTGGAGCTGGTGTCTCACTTTTTGTTGTGTCTGCAGCCGTACGTGATGATGTATGCACAGAGGATGATGAGCCTTGCGCCTGTATCCGGCATTGTGCAAATAAAACAAAACCGTGTCATGCCGTGTCTTTGGCTGATAGTTATTTACAGTATGTTGACCTTGATTTATTTACTGTATTAATTGGGATTTGTGATCAGTCTGTTTTGGATATGGCTTGTTTGACTTGAGAGGTTAAGGCAAGGGTGACCCAACATTTGTGGTTAAGGGGCACAATTGCTTTTTTTTTTTTTCCAAATGGACACATGGGCCAGGTCATTCACTAATGTGATGAAAAAAAATACTGTTTGCAGAATAAATTTATTTAAAAAAATAAGAAATGAAACAGTTATTTGACAAACCATTTTTTAAGGTCAATTATTAATGATTCAGTCAACCAATTAATTCACTACAGGAAATGCAGTAAATGTATAAATTGGTGTCTTGGCATTTTTTAAAATTTACAATGAATCAATTTAGCCAATTAATAAATGACATACACGAAGAAAAAAAATACAAAATGAATACCGGTAAATACTAATTTTGGTTAGCATTCATTAAATGACCAAATTTTAGGGGGGAAACAACTCAATTAATACATCAACTCAACTTTATTGATAAAATAATTTGGACAAAAAAAAACCAACAACAACCATAGCTGAAACAAAGCGTTTTGTATTAATAAAACTCTGAATGCTCGATAGACTGGATAAAGAACAGAGCAGTCCAAGTATGGCCTCCTGGCCATACTTTTAATTTGTGGCAGACACTGGGATAAATTCAAATCACTTGCAAAATGTCATCATGTTGAAAGCATTCATTTAAATGGAAAATATTTATTGTATAGTCGCACATTTAAAATATACAGACAGACTGTGTCCCTTCTTGGGAAATACTTCTACTACTGTACCACTACATATTATTTAAGACTCATTCACACAGAGGTCCCACATCATTGCTGACCCATGATTTGCAAATTGGGGTATTGCTGTAACTCGGCTCTTTCACACAGTGGTATTAAGGTCATTAGATGCGTCACGATGTCAGAGTTTCTTTTGTCACCCCTTTGCAGAATACCTTTTCATGCAGGTGTCGACATTACAGCTAAGGTACTTTAAATAAAGGCAAAAAATAGTTGGGTCGACTATTTCCCCCCTCATTGCTGCATATACAGGACAGTGACATGGTGAAAAGGCGGAAAAACGCCTCTCTTACAGGCAGTGTAAAAAGGGGCTTTTAATTTGTTGGAACACTCCAGGCCTTGTTGTGTTGGAAGTGCTGTGTCATGCCCGCTCGCGAACCGACGCACACCAGCACAACACAACACATTCCTGCTTCATTGAGCTCTGTCATCTCCCATTCCATGGCCAATCGGTCTGCGCACTTGAGCATTTGTGGTTTTTGTTTTTGCTTTCCGTGTTCAAATACAGCCACTTGTTTGTCTACTTCAGGCACAACATATATATATATATATATATATATATTAGGGTGACTCATGTGTGTGTATGTATACACACACACACACACACACACACACAGTATATGTTAACACTAATCCAGTCATCTTGAAAGTCATTTGACTCCTTTTCCAAAACAGCAGTACAGTGCGGCTTGACATAGTGTATGCAAATTGATTAGTTTTAAAAATCAAAAGTTGTGAATGGATCTCAAAATAGAGTGGAACTTCACACGGCAGAATACTGTTGGTCAACGTCCGATTGGTTAGCATTTCAACACAATTTTCCGATCGGAAGTTTAAAAAAAACAAAACAATCAAGCTGTTGTTTAGAGCTACACTTGCACAATTTGTTTTTGTCATTGCGTCAATATTTTTTTATCTGAAACATTGTGGTTGAATCCCGAATTGTACAGTTTTTGGCCTGCTTTTGTTGGGCAAACTGCCACACTGAGATGCTCCGCTGCTCTCAGTTGATTAGGTATTGTAAAAACTATAGGAAGAGCACAATCAAAGCCTTTTCCTGAACAAAGCAACTTCTTGTACTAAACCACACACACACACACACACACACACACACACACACACGCACACACACCAGAAAAGAACAAAGCACCCGATTGTTGAACTCGGTTACAATGCCACCATGTGCTGCTATCACGGTAAAGCTCACATTGGCATCCCAAATTCCCAAACGTTTGGAATTGGTGCTTCCTTTTGACCTCCAGCATTGCCTCCATTGCAGTCGTGTCTCAGCTTTGAAATGCATCGAGCACAGTAATCCCTTTTTGAATAAATGCATAAAACGTCCTTGTTTGTCTGTATTGATCCGTTTTGACCGGTATCATGTCAGCAAGTGCCGCTCTCATTAGGATGCTGATGTTTTTATTGATGGTCCTCTCGCTCCATGCAGGTTGACGTGCTCGCCATGCGCAGGTCTCTGTCCCAAGCTTTGCGTGGGGAATAAAACCATTGACTCGGTCACCTCGGCCCAGGCGTTGAGAGGTTGCACCGTTCTCCACGGCAACATGATCATCAAGATTCGAGGCGGGAGTGAGTACGCTTGCACAACTCCCTCTGGGCCTCCTCGAGACGCTCAGATTTTCGTCTTCGTCTCTGCCTTCTCTCGCTCAGTCACCGTCTTAACTGTGCATTTCTTGCTCTTCATCATTTTTCACCCCAGTAGCTGACTCCGCTGTCTTTTTTTTCCTTTTTTTTTTTTTTTTACCCTGCAGATAACATAGCTGCTGAGCTGGAGGCTAGTTTGGGTCAGATTGAGGAGATCACAGGCTACCTGACGGTTCGCAGAGCCTACGCCCTCGTGTCCCTCTCATTCCTCCGTAAACTGCGCATCATCAGGGGGGAGCATCTTGAGGGAGAGTGAGTCTTCTTCCCCTTTTCCCTCTTCCTCCCCCTCTCTCGCAGTGTCTGACAAATGCACCTCTCCATCTCTTTCAGCATCTATTCCTTCTATGCACTGGACAACCAGAATCTGCGTGAGCTGTGGGACTGGTCCAAGCACAACCTGACCATCCAGCGTGGCCGCACCTTCTTCCACTATAACTCCAAACTGTGCATGTCTGAAATCAGCAAAATGGAGCAGGTGACGGGCACCATCAAGCGCAACCAAAAGAATGACATTGCTGGGCGCACCAACGGAGACCAAGCCTCCTGTAAGTTGATGCGATCGCTGTGAGCGTAACTTAGTTAATAGAGCCCCGACTCACACCTCAAGTCTGCGTTTGTTGTTTGTTTCACGTTTAAACAGTGAGTCCCGAATCAACTCTCACGGGTTACAAATTTTTACAGAAAAACACATCAGTGGGAAAAAAAAAAAAGAAAAATCCAATTTGGTTATATTGAAATGCTCAAATGAAATGATAAATGGAGTGCACCTATGGTGCAAAAAAAAAGCACGATACGTCTTGCCCAAAGTGCTTTTCCAAGCCCCATATTCACTTTTTTGAAAACATCGGCATATATGCGCTAACGCAGCCGTATCATCCTCTGGAAAGGTTTTCCTTTTTATCCCTCGCTGTGCATTGGCCAAAGGCGGAATGTTGTTTTGGACCAATTTTAAATCCATCTATTGGAGTTACCACCAATTTGTGCACTGCCCTGGCAAATACATTGCTTTGACTCTTCGCAGTTCTACGAAATCTTCATTGTCATTACTGTAGAAAACGTAATTTTTTTTTAGGCTTATCGCCTTTATGTGGTTTGACACTAAACTTAATGTTCTTTGATGAGACATTTTCTGGGTGGTTTGTTGTTTATTTCCAAAGTGATTTTGACGATAGAGCCCCCACATGATTACCATTGTATTTTAGAGTGTTATTTCCATTGTTTTTGTGGTGAAGGATTGAGTGCGCCAATGTTTGCAGATGTAGCGCATGTGCCTCTAGCTTTTAGGCCATCTGGATTTGTACACACATTAGAGGAACCTCTCCTGTTTTTATTTTGTATTTATTTATTCATGTAGTTGTTTTTTCCCCCGGGGGGGGTGAAAGATACATGCTGATCATCTGCTTTATCTCCCAGGTGAAACCAAGCTGCTGAAATTCACATTCATCAAGGCGGCGTCAAACAAGATTTTAGTGAAGTGGGAGCCTTTTTGGCCGTTAGATTTCAGAGACTTGCTGGGGTTCATGGTTCTCTACAAAGAAGCGTAAGCATCTGACCCAAGTCCAATTTGTCTTGCTTTTGGACAGGTGTTTCTTTAGCGTGAATTCTGCCATTGTTCTGAAACGTACGGATGGATGTTTTACACCATATCACAGCTGACTTCCCTCTTCTTCCTCGTGTCTTCTAAGGCCGTACAAGAACGTGACCGAGTTTGATGGGCAGGATGCGTGCGGTTCAAACAGCTGGGTGATCGCCGACGTTGACCCACCGGCACGTGTTACCGACAACAAGGAGCAGAATGAGCCGGGCCATTTGATCCGACCCCTGAAGCCGTGGACTCAGTACGCCATCATGGTGAAAACCCAGCTGTCTGCGTCGGACGAACATCAGGTTCACGGGGCCAAGAGTGAGATCATCTATGTCCGCACCGATGCTTCCAGTGAGTTCCACTGCTTGAGAGCCACATACAAATTGGAATTGACGCGTTAACTAATTGTAGACCTTTATTTGAGACCAGAGGGATTAAGAAGTAAAAATCTAAATTTGAACTTTTGACCATATTTGCCTTCCAGGTATCTTGTAGTTTCTTAAACACCGTTTGCATGTCGTGCTTCCCCACCCAAAAACATTTTGTGTGTCTTGAGGTACAGGAAAAATCCTCACTCATAAATGATTAGTCAGTGTTGACCTGAATTGTTTACGCAACATTGTTCAAATGCTGCTCGTAGCAGCATGTTTTCTTGCTCCATTTTAATAGCGAATGTGTCTTGGCCTGACCGCTGATCAATCAAACGGAGTGAAACACTTGGCAGGAACGCCACGATCGTCATTTGCACACACATGCACACAAACGTGCAAACAAAGGACTGACTCGTTCAAATCATTTCTCCATAGTGCCAATGGGGGACAAAGACTCGGCAGGTTACTTTCGTACAGCAATAACAGAGAGGGGGGCGGGGGGGGGATCAATGATGACTGATGGAGTCAGACGTTTCTAGAATGTTCTGCCCTAACGTTTGTCGACCTCAATCTTCCTCAGAGCCCTCAGTGCCTCTGGATCCCATCTCCTCCTCCAACTCCTCCTCTCAAATCATCCTCAAGTGGAAGCCCCCCACCAATCCCAACGGCAACATCACCCACTACCGGGTTGTCTGCCGCAAGCAACCCGAGGACAGCGACCTCTACAAGTTTGACTACTGCCTGCAAGGTCGGTATCCGACCACGTGAGCTGTTTTCGCGCGAATCAGTTTGTCGCACTCGGAAAACATATTTGGCCCTTCCACAGGAATGAAGCTGCCATCGCGGACCCCGACCCACCTGGATAGCGATGACGAGCAGAAGTGGAACCACACAGACGAGCCGAACATTGGGGGCAAGTGTTGCGCCTGTCCCAAGACGGACGTTCAGCTCAAGAAGGAGCAGGAGGAGATTGAGTACCGCAAGACCTTTGAGAACTACCTGCACAATGAAGTCTTTGAGAGCAGGTACATTGCAGAAGTGCCATTTCAACAGCGGCGGTTTGGTTTTCTTGTCACGGCGACCGCTAGAAAGTCAAAGTGCGAACACAGCAAATAAGTTGCTGGTGTTTTTAAATGGATTTTAACATGCAGAGCAGATCGCGGTTCTGTTATTACTCTCTCGGTGGTACGGCAGACTATCAGAGGCCCTCCAACCAGCCAGACATGATCACCCGTCTTTTGTTCGTCTTTGTCTACTGGAGCTGCGTGCCAAGTCTCCCTTGTCCTTCAATGTTTGTGTGTGTCATTTATGTGGACTTGTTTTTGTTCCGGGCAGCACAGTGGGTGGGCACATGGTGGGAGGTGCCGATTTTGGAGGCTCCAACGCACCTAACCCATCCACTTGAAACACACATACACGCTCTGTTGCGGCTTCTCTACAGGGAGTGATTACTGCGGCCATTATCATTCACGCCAGTCAGGCGTGCAGTCATGCAGACGGCCATTCGGACACACACACTATGAACGTCACACACACCTCAGCAGGACTTCGAGCCCATGCTGTAATAGGTCAGTGTCATGCAAGCCGGTGCACGAAGACCTCTCCGTGTTCCTCTTTTCCATCACGCAAGGGGATCTAGGACATTTTTTTTTTCCCTCCCACCTGAGCAGCTTTTAACTCAACCCTGAAGCTCTGAACTCTTAGCAAGCCAAGTACAATGTAGTCAATGATGCTTTCATAGAAGTGAAGATGCCCGTCCGAGAGAGTTGGTACACCACTGCGAAAAGGTCTTGCTCCATGGGTTCAGTGGTGCATTTACATTTCAGGAAGTGGACGTTGGCTCATGAACACCATCTAGTGGAGGTACGGAGAAGTTGTTCTGTTAAAGCAGTGGATAGATGTCATGGAGTCAGACCAGCCCGTGAGGGGAAAATCCAGCTTCAATTACAATTACATGCCTACAAGTTTGAATCCACGCCCATCAACAACCTGATTGAATGACCATCTATTAAGGGGGAGGGGGTCCAAACAAGCCTGTCTGCCCATTGCAATATTCCCTCGACCTTTTTGTCGCTCGTTCATCTGGAGCCTCAAACCGTTTTCCTCTCTCTTTTTCTCGACATTTGCTAAATGCTTCATGCGTTCTTCTTCCAGACCTTCGCGTCGGCGACGTTCAGTGGGAGTGGCCAACGCCACCGAAATGCCTTTCCTTCTTCCTACAGTCCCCAGCGTTCATAACGGTTCTACCAAAGCCACACCCAAAGAGGAGGATGAGGAGGGAGCTAAGGTCTTTTTTGCCGCATAGGCTGTTTATCAAATTATTGGCTTCAGTGACATGATCATTTGACTGACACGATCATTCCAGTTTGGCTTGGAAAGCAATATGACGTCGTATAAATGGTCATCCTTGAATTTCTTTTTTTTCCCCCGCACAGGTTGAACTGAAAGTCTTCTCAAAAGAATCAACTGTCATCTCCAACCTGCAACACTTTACCAGTTATAAGATTGAGATTATGGCCTGCAACCATCCCACAGACCTCAAGCGCTGCAGCATGGCGACTTATATCAGTGCTCGAACTATGCCGGAAGGTGAATACGCATTGCACCTTTGTTTAAATACACACGTGTCGTTTGACAGGCATGCACACCGCCTTGAGAAATGATCAACACTTTAACCCCCCAAAGCATGCAAGGAAGATAATCTCGACATTGTCTATTTTCTTCTTCATGGTCTGATATGTACAGAGAAAGCAGATGACATCCCAAGCCAGGTGACCCATGAGTTAATGAACGGTGAGCCTGCATCCGTGTTCATTAAGTGGAAGGCACCCGTCTCTCCAAATGGTCTCATCATCCTCTATGAGGTCTTCTACAGGAAAGTTGGGGAGACTGAGGTCAGTACTGTACCACCAGGAGGTCTAGGAACTACATTATTGCCTTACAATGCCATGCTGTATGTAGTCGGACAGTCGGAACTACAAAATCCTCCATGGAGAGGCGGGGGGTGGTTATTCGTTTATAAAACTGCAGCGCCGCTACCTCTGCTGTGTATGTTTGCATATATTTGAGTTGTTTGTGTGGCATAAATGTGTGGATTCAACTTGCATTGCTATTCATGGTACCACTGCCTGAGTTGAGAAGCCAGTTGCTGCACTGTTTCCATAGTGACAGAAGCGGGAAGGAAGACTAGAATGCAGGCACAGGGATGGACAGGCACCTCCACTGCACCGCACTGCACTGCACTTTGGACGCATCTTGTAGCTGAAACAAACTATCATTCTACTAAAATGTATAGCAGGCGTGTCCAAACTATGGCCTGGGGGCATTTACGGCCCGCCATCCATTTTTCAGCGGATGTCAAACACTAAAAATGACATTTGACATGAGCCACAAGGTTAGTTAAAAAGGTGAAGGGTGGGGGGAGTACTGTAGAACCTTCCACTGGATTCGAAGATACAGATAAGCCATTAATGATTCAAAGAATAACACAATTTATCTTCGAAACACTGTCGTGAATAAAGATAATTCAATTTTAGAGACAAAAATTGTTTCTTTCACTTTGTGCTGTGGGACTGATTTAGGAATACATCATATTAATGATCCTCAAGTAACTGAAAAATGATCACCTTACTATAGTTTTTTTCTTCATTTTGGTTCTGAATGTGGACATCGGATTCGCCTTCTGTTAAGTCCTGTGAGATAGGAGGATGTTGGCCACCCCAAAAACTTGGAAAAATCATCAATTATTTTCCTTAACACCTTTAACAGAAAGCTGGTGAAATGAACTGGAAAATACCAAAAAAAAAAGGAGACTGAGGTCAGTACTGTACCACCAGGAGGTCTAGGAACTACATTATTGCCTTACAATGCCATGCTGTATGTAGTCGGACAGTCGGAACTACAAAATCCTCCATGGAGAGGCGGGGGGTGGTTATTCGTTTATAAAACTGCAGCGCCGCTACCTCTGCTGTGTATGTTTGCATATATTTATCTGTGAGTTGTTTGTGTGGCATAAATGTGTGGATTCAACTTGCATTGCTATTCATGGTACCACTGCCTGAGTTGAGAAGCCAGTTGCTGCACTGTTTCCATAGTGACAGAAGCGGGAAGGAAGACTAGAATGCAGGCACAGGGATGGACAGGCACCTCCACTGCACCGCACTGCACTGCACTTTGGACGCATCTTGTAGCTGAAACAAACTATCATTCTACTAAAATGTATAGCAGGCGTGTCCAAACTATGGCCTGGGGGCATTTACGGCCCGCCATCCATTTTTCAGCGGATGTCAAACACTAAAAATGACATTTGACATGAGCCACAAGGTTAGTTAAAAAGGTGAAGGGTGGGGGGAGTACTGTAGAACCTTCCACTGGATTCGAAGATACAGATAAGCCATTAATGATTCAAAGAATAACACAATTTATCTTCGAAACACTGTCGTGAATAAAGATAATTCAATTTTAGAGACAAAAATTGTTTCTTTCACTTTGTGCTGTGGGACTGATTTAGGAATACATCATATTAATGATCCTCAAGTAACTGAAAAATGATCACCTTACTATAGTTTTTTTCTTCATTTTGGTTCTGAATGTGGACATCGGATTCGCCTTCTGTTAAGTCCTGTGAGATAGGAGGATGTTGGCCACCCCAAAAACTTGGAAAAATCATCAATTATTTTCCTTAACACCTTTAACAGAAAGCTGGTGAAATGAACTGGAAAATACCAAAAAAAAATACACACACACACACACACACACACACACACACACATACACACAGTATATATAAAATTCCCTTCTTGATTGACTTTAGCATGTTTCAAAAAGTTGACGAACTTTAAAGTGTCCCTTTCATCCTTCCATTTTTCTGTACGCGGCCCTCAAACGAAAAAGTTTGAACACCCCCTGATGTGTGGCATGGTTGACCTTTCAATTAAACTTTTTTTTTTTTTTAACACAATGGTGGCATATGAAAAATTAACAATAGAAATACATGAGTTGGACCGATAAAACCTGACAAAACATCCGTACGTATTTGGATTCTTGACTATTTTAATGTTGGGGGGCGGGGCACCAGGTCCACACAGCTTGTGTTTCTCGGCCTGCGTACCTCAAGTCTGGCGGCACCAAGCTGTCGCTTGTACACCCCGGGAACTACAGCGTGAGGATCCGCGCCACCTCCTTGGCAGGAAACGGCTCTTTCACAGAAACCACCTACTTCTTCATGCCCAACAGTAAGGCCGGATGAATAATTGAAATGAAACCGTTAACAGATTGTTTTCATCGACAGTACACAAGTGGACTGTTGCAACATACAGCACACATGTGGACATGATACATTACATTGACCTCACATTGTTCCATTTAAAATTTCACATTTTGAAATAAAGTTGCCTTCTGTTGGCTCGGCTTGTAACTGTTACCTGACCAAAGACTTGGATGTGACTTGCAGAGGATCCCGGTATAGTTGGCGTTGTCATTGGCCCAGTTATCTGCTTCATCCTGCTGTTGATCGTGGGGGGTGCCGTCTTTGTGGTCTTCAAGAAAAAGTACGTAAAGATGTTAGCATCCACATGTCGTAGCTTTAAGACCAAGGGACCCGCTGTTCATTCAGGCAGTGTTTCCCCCAATATTTTTGGAGCCAAAGCACATATTTTAAATGAAAAGAAATCTCACGAAAAAATCTGATTTGGATCGGTTACAGGCAGACAGAGGGCCCAACTGGACCTCTCATTGCCTCCTCAAACCCAGAGTATCTCAGTGCCAACGACGGTAAGAAGCATCATGACAAACTTTTGGGGGGGAGGGGGGGGGCCTATAACTCTTCAGCTGATGATTTGACTGTTACTCTCAACTCCACCATTTTGTGTAGTTTATGTTCCTGACGAATGGGAAGTGCCACGGGAGAAGATCACCGTGCTCGGGGAACTGGGTCAGGGCTCCTTCGGCATGGTGTACGAAGGAATCGCCAAGGACATTGTCAAAGGTGACCCGGACACCCGCGTGGCCGTCAAGACGGTCAACGAATCGGCCAGCCTGCGAGAGAGGATCGAGTTCCTCAACGAGGCCTCCGTTATGAAGGCATTCAGCTGTCACCATGTGGTAATTGACAACACTTACAGTCACTTCGACCAGCATAAGCACTCCCGACTGGCTTGTCATGTTGACGCTACCATCCTGACTCACAGTTTGACTCCCAAAACAAACATTCCAACTTGGAGTTGCGCTTTTACTGCCTTGACATATGTCCCAACATTCCTTTCTATATTTACTCCTGCTGGCTCATATAATCAGTTCCGAGATTCACCATAGAAGGGTGGCAATATTCATTTGTGATTTTGATCATTTGTATTTTTATAGGTACGCCTCTTAGGTGTTGTGTCCAAGGGTCAACCCACCCTTGTGGTGATGGAGCTCATGACACACGGTGACCTAAAGAGTTATCTGCGAAGCCTCAGGCCAGACTCCGAGGTATGCGCTGCCAGCAAATGCATGGCCAATATGAATATTCCACCCCATAGTCACTTTTTTTTTTTTTTTTTTTTTTTTTTTTGTTTGTTTGTTTGTTTTTTAGAACAACCCAACCGGTCGTCCTCCACCTACCCTGAAGGAGATGATCCAGATGGCTGCGGAAATCGCAGATGGCATGGCCTACCTCAACGCCAAGAAGTTTGTGCACAGAGACCTGGCAGCCAGAAACTGCATGGTAGCAGAGGACTTCACTGTCAAGATTGGAGGTACCAACACACGTGTTTTTTTTGTTTGTTTTCGTTTTTTTGAGGCTGCATTATCTTTCTCTATGCTGATTTGCACACCACACAATACAATCCAGCATAAAATTCCCCCTATTTTATGTGTATGTGAATCTGAAATTAAAAAAAAGAAAAATCTTCAGTATCAGTTGTTTTTCGTTTAAAGTCAACGTTCAAAAAGACAAAAGTTCATTTTGGCTGACCTCATTACTTGTCACTCATTATTTTGTTGACCACCATTCAACAGAATGCGTTGAGGTCCTTCACGATAAGCTACATTGTGGTCTTCTTTGTAACTTAATAAGTTTTATATTGCATTTGTACTTTGCAGTGTAGTTTGTCATGCTTTGTATGATAATGACAGATTTTTACATGATTTCATATATCTAAATAAGATAACAAAACTGCTCTCTGATTTCCCCCCTCCTACGTTCCCTTCGTCTAAGACTTTGGTATGACACGAGACATCTACGAGACTGACTACTACCGTAAAGGGGGGAAGGGCCTGCTTCCTGTCAGGTGGATGGCTCCGGAGTCTCTGAAGGACGGAGTCTTCACTGCCCACTCTGACTGCTGGTAGGCGACGAGTCTGTCCCCCGCCCCCACAAGCGCCTGACAGCTGCAAATGTTTCTGTCATCAAGACATCCTGAGATGTTTTCTTGCTCTCTCGCAGGTCGTTCGGCGTCGTGCTGTGGGAGATCAGCACACTAGCAGAGCAGCCTTACCAGGGCCTGTCCAATGAGCAGGTTCTCAAATTTGTCATGGACGGAGGATACCTGGACCGCCCGGACAACTGTCCCGAGAGGATGTGAGTTCTTGAAAGTCACAATTTCACTTGTACTCACTTAAGATGACAAGTGTTTGTGAGTTTTGCATGTGTTTTAACTAGGGCTGCAACAATTTAACGACTAACTTAAATCATTCGATTACCAAAAAAGATTGAAGCAAGGATCATTTTTTTTTCCACACAAACTATTGTTTCACGCACCTCCTGTACAAAAAAATTAGTTGGCACGACAGAAAGAGTGCATGCAAGGTAGAGAATAACCAAAGTTTGGGATAATTTCACACAAAACGAAGAATATATAGATAACAAGTGCAATGTGTATCATAACAGCATGTCTACAAATGCCGACACAGTGTGACATGTCAATATTAGCAAAATGAATTTAGCGAGTTAGAATGTATTCAAGAATAGACAGAGCTGCATTTTCAGTCACTTGATTGACAACGCTAAGAAAACAAACACGCTGACTCACCAGGGCAGGCTCCGCTTTTAAAAACCCTCCACACTCAGTCACATACTACAGTGGAACGTGAGGATGGCGGCCTCGAGTGGACGACACATGCACCTAACATGCACATTATTGTGTCGAATAATTAAAAATCTATTTTTATATGATTAATCGATGGCGCCATTTGTAGAATTTTTTATGCTAAAAATACAGTCAAGCCCCTTCAATTGCTGGTTACATTCCAACCCATTCCCGCAATAAATGAAGTCCGCGATATAGAAATGACCTCCATAAATACTCTCGAGGCATGTTTTTATAGCATTTGCGGCATTTCATTTTTAAAGGTGTTCAAGCACACTTTTAAAACAATAAAAATGCATTTAAACACATAAATTGAGAGAGAGAGAGCAATTGATGAAGCAAAAACAATGTACAGTGTACTGATCCCTCAATGTAAACGAGTTATAATACATCCCTAGACGTACATTATAAAATTAACCTATAGCTGTTGATTTCTGTAGGCATAAAAAGCAGGATTACAGCAGATGACATTGAATAATTTTCAACAAAAACTCGGCTGTGTCGAACTACAGTACCTCCTGTCTTGTTCTTGCAAATTTTTACCCTCTCAAGCTAATAAGTGTGCCGCCATCCAGTGGTAAACAGTGGAAATACACCCGATATAAGTAGCAAAAATAAATAAATAAATAAAAATCAGTGAAATAGAGGGACCGCAAACCTGGAACCCGCGATGGTGGCTGGTTTACTGTATTTAATAGCCCCAGCCCTTGTTGAATAAACTTGGGGAAATATGTCAGAAATGTGTCTAGGGTACTGACGATTTTCCTCATCTATTTAGGGATGTTTGGGTCATGTGATTCCGCCTCCTAATTTGCGAGTTTCCTGTTTCGAACATGCAGGCACAACTTAATGCAGATGTGCTGGCAGTACAATCCCAAAATGCGGCCGATGTTCCACGAGATCATCGAAATGCTGCGGGACGACCTGCACCCGTCTTTCCAGGAGGTCTCCTTCTTCTACAGCGAGGAGAACAAGGTCCCCGAGACCGAGGAGTTTGACTTGGACCTGGAAAACATGGAGAGCATCCCCCTGGACCCGTCCTCGTACTCTCAGAGAGAGGAGAGCTTAAACAGAGACGGCGGGCCCTCTGTGGCCCTGAGGGGGAACTACGAGGAGCACGTCCCCTATACACACATGAACGGTGGCAAGAAAAACGGACGAATCTTATCGTTGCCCAGACCCAGCCCTTCCTAACGTTTCCTGTTGTCCGGAAAGAACTTGTTGAACTGGCCCAACCTCAACCTTCCTTCTTTTCTCCAGCAGCCCTCTCGGAATTCTTCAGAATCCTCCCAATTTTTTTTTTTCTTTTATCCTTGGAGAAGACCTTCTCAACACACACACACACATACAAACACAGATCTCAGGACTTTTACTTTTTCTTCCTCATGACTGCCAAACACAGGCTAGCAAGGGATGCAAACAGCACATGGGTCTTTCTGCTATCATCCTTTTGGTTTCTCCTTCTCCCCACGTTTCCAAGGACGCATTTTGTTGGAAACGATCGAGGGAAAAACACACACACACACACACACAAACAAAAAAAAAAAAGAACTGTGAACACGAGGAACCTTAGACAACCACAAGGCTGCTCTTATGCTCGACCTCTTGAAAAACGTGGCTCTCCCTTCCACTGGGCGTTTCTTCTTCTGACTCAGTCTTTTTACTCAGATAGTGGCCTTTGGATATGTGGCCTATACATGAAGAGAAGTGTCTCTCTCTGCGCTCGTGTTTGTTCCCTTTTGACGACGATTACATTTCAGTTTGGAAACGGTGGGATGAGTTGATCATAGAACAAACGTCTAATCCTAGAGGAACGTTGGGTCTTTTGCTTTTGTTTTGCTTTTTTTTTGTTTGTTTGTTTGTTTGTTTTCCTTCTGGTTCTGCAGAATTCCAAAATGACACACATATTCATCGGGTGACTAGTTTTAATTTATTTGCTTTTATCATTGTTTTCTCTCTTTTCTGTGTCCTCACTTATATGGCTGAAGGATATTTAAACAGTTAAGAGTTGGATAAAGGAGTTCCTCAGACTGACCAATAGCTGCTGCTTTGATATATTTTACTAGATATAGAAATATATGAATTTATATAATATATATAGTATATATGGAATATTGGTATGAAGGTACCAACATTTTATATATATAATATATGACATTGATGTTTTTTGTACATAGTTCATATTTGTAATATTTTTCATCCAAAGCTTTGTTAGTATCTAGATTTTTATTTTTTTGCCAATGTTTTTCCTTGAAATGTTTTTATTTTTATAGCCCCAGATATCCCACTAATCTGCCATGAGTGCTCTCTCCTCTCGTATTGTGACCACCTGGACGGGAAATAACTTCAACCCACTGAATCATTTCTTTTTTTTTTTTGTTCTTCTTGTTGTTATTAAGTCCCCGTCGGACCCTCTGTCTGTATGAAGAGGAGACTTTTTTTTTTTTTTTACGGCGATAACTAAAACCATCAGAAAAAAGCTTTTTTTAAAAAAAAAAAAAAAAAAGGACGGAAGAGGTCACGTGACGATTGATCACATTTTGCTCCGAGGGTGGCCCAGTGAATGTACTTCCATTTTTTTTTTTGATGGCAACACTAGTCCCTGTATTAGTTGGAAGGTTCCGAGTGTCCTCAAGTTGGGTTGGCCTGTGTGATCCTTTTTGTCCACTTAAGCAAAATTTGTCAGAATCTACGAAACTGGCCGAATCTCCAGTGACAAGAAAGGTGCGACTTTCTCCTTTGTCTCCTTGTTAGGTTTGCCTCTGCATGTTTCTCCGACTTCTCATGCTTCCCCCAACCCTGCCTTGTTCCACTCCCACCTTCCACGCAATGGCTACAAAGTTCCAGCAGGTAGAGGAGACAGACGATCTTTTTGAGTTGAGGGCATGTGAGTGCGCCAATTATATTTGTATCCTCCGAGGATACATTTCATTGTTTGTTTGGTTTTTTTTTTCAGTTTGTGTTTTTGCGATCGCAACATCACTTGAGATCTAAATGCGGGCTAAAAATTGGATCTCTGGTTTTTGTTCACTGAATGAAGCTGTAATTGAGCAACTTCCCCACTACGCCCCAATTGTGCGTTCATCCACGTGGAGCACTTAAGAAAATCCCAAAGATATCCCGTAGTATGCATTGTGGTTGTCTACGGCTTCCTTTTCAACTGCACGGGCTCCCGACTGATGCTTCTCGAGCGCCGGTAGTGTGAATCACCGCTGCTTGCTCATTGGTTGAGGATTTTGGTGGGTTTGATGATATGTCAGTGTTAACATCCGCTTACCCCGTTGCGGTGCCTTAGCTATGGACGCTGCGCTACTATACTCCACCATTTCCATTTTGCAGCAGCGTGCCCTCCGTCTTCTTTGGGGAAAAAAGGGAGGAAGTAAAAAGAAAAGGGACGCTCCTTCCGCTTGGTCTGACTGAGATTGTTTTGCTTATTTGTTGCAGTAGGAATCCAAACGGAGCCGAGTAGAGCCAGACAGTGGAAAAATGTCGCGGGTCCACTCGGGTCTGACTTTGTGGGATTTAGTCGCCGCGATTTACTCCCATTTTTTTCTCCTGCTTTCCGCCTCTGCTCAACACTCAACTTTGCTTTGTTTTATCACGACATCATTTTAAAGGAGCATTATCGCTCTTAATGAATTCACCCATATCAGTCAATAAGTGTGCAACCCGACAACTACGGCCACCAATCGGGTCCTGTAGCGTTCGGAAGCTTGTCAGAATCTTTCAGAAGCCCTTCTGTTTTATACCAGTGCCTTCTCCAAAGTTGGAGTTGCGAAGCATTAGTGGGGTCGTGCGAGGAGGTAGAGCTTTGATAAATCTTGGGCTCTTGTAAATGAAATGTGATGTAGTTAAGTTAAAAAGAAGGATTTGATGCATGATAGAAGCATGGTGGACTTGAGCTGTGTCACGCTAACGGTGTTTCCCAACCTTTATTGAGACAATTTAACATTAGAAAAGGCTCACCAAACATAAATGTTACTCCAGTATATCCTGTATCCCGAAAAGATGATAATTCTGTTTCGGTTTACTCAAAAATTGATTGACTCGGTGTGAGCCTGTACACACAAAGCTATTCTGTTGTATGAATGGCAACAGGGGGATTCACGGGTCGTGGATGTCTCGCCTCTGCCATCTAGTGGAAGAACATTGAATTGTTCTGCCTGTCACGGTATATCGCTGGCATAGAGCAGAAGCACGATCGATTATCGCTATTAAAAAAAAAAAAAAAAAACATCATTTTAAGACCAGTTAAGTGAAATTGGGTAATTGGCATGACACAAGGGTTGGGAATCACTGCACCAACATTTGATATAGTACATCACTCAGAACCGTTTGGCTTTACAAGAACTTTCAAGTCACTGTGAACGCAAGCGGCTCCGAGTTTCGTAGTATGTCGTATGAAAAGTGAGCAGAACTCTCGGACACCTCTTGTGGCATATGCAATTCCTTATCAAGATGGTGCCCGAACTTGTAGATATTTATTTTGTTACGATCATGAGCAAAGCGGTTAGCAACTAAGTGGAGCATTAAAAAAAAAAAAAAAAGAATTTAAAAAATTGGTGGGTGTGTGAGGGTGAAGCGATGCCGGAGTCCTGTTTGTCGTCGTTGAGGAATGCCTGCGCTTTGTTTATCGTCATTGTTGTCGTCGTCCTTGTTGTCTCTTGTCTTGGCCGAAGTCTACCTGAGTGCACGCAGAGGCAAGCGTGACATGCAATCTTTTCAAACATCGCTCACATGAGTGGCCTCCTTCTGCCTGCTTCCTACCTTACACACATTTTGATGAATTTTCCATTAAATAATTGATGACATTCCCCCATTTTTGTTTTTAAGCTAATGTTGTACTGGAGCTCCCTCAAAATACACTTTTCCCAAGTAAGCCTAATCGCGTGTGCTCCTGGACACTAAATGGACCAAAGTATTGGGACATTAAAACAGCGGAAATGAAATCATTTCAAGGTGGTCCCTCCCCCTTTGTGACAAAAACAGGATTTTGTGTTTAGTGTGAGGGAATCTTTTGTTTTTGGACCATTGTGAGACCACAGGAAATTCTTTCACTCAACCATGAACCTTGCTTACTGCATTGGTGCAGAAGAAAGCGGGGGCGGGGGGCATCTCAGTAGTTTGTCCCAAGACTTTAGTTCTTTAGGTGTATCAATGCCTCTGGTTTTCTTGTCCTTTGTGTTCCAAGTCTTCTACTGTGAATATCAAGAGAATAACAAGAACGATGTGCGGATTGGGTGTGTAGGGGTGATCGGGACAGGCTGGTTTGAAAGAAGAAGAGGAGGAGGAGAAGCAGGCAAGCCAACCGCTGCCCACCCCCAACAACAAACTTTCTCCCATTTGGGTTGGACAAAGCAAGACTGGGACAATCCTGTGTGCCATACAAACTCAAACCAGATGTAGAAAATCTCGATTGTAACCTTTTTTGTAGTCTCAGGGAGGCGGCCTGATACTCGGAGGAGGATGAAGAGATACACCTTAGCTACCTTTTATATCAGTCGTGACTGAACAGAAAGTTCTCAGCATCCTTGCCGAAAAGGACGCGCAAAGCCCACCCTCCTCATCGAATATTCTCTTTTCACCACGTTGACGTCCTGTCTGTTTTTGGAGACAATCAGGAAAACCCTGCGCTCTCTCTGACGTCAAGCGGCTTGGACTGGCCCCTAGTGGCTGGATGGGAGAATTGCAAAGCAAACCCACCCACAATAGTGCCTTGCTTTGAACCCACTGAACCCCTTCGGGCGCACCTCCAAATATGAAACGAAGCCCGATGAAATCTGCTCTTCTATGAATTCTGTGCAACTCAAACTGTTTATTGAGATCAAATATCATTTGGGATTATTATGACCGATTTGTACCAAAAAAGAAACAAATGGAACTTTTTGTCTGCTCTAAGCTTGCTTCATGCATGGAAAGAGAAAATCATGTATACCAGCCGATAGCTTCTTTAAGATATACAAACACTCGTAGAAAATATGTATGTCAGCACACGCAATGTGGGGATTCCCATTGTTGCTGACGTACATCCCAACATTCAGAAAAATAAGCTCATTAAGTCGCTCTTAACTGTAAATAGCAGTGGATCCCCTCCTCTTTTGCTCGGAAACATGAAAGCACTTGATTTAGGGAAGTTTGCTCTGTTCATGACCTTAAAAAAAGAAAGAAAAAAAAAGATCTTGCTCATATCTTGTGGGTTGCAAAGTCGTCGGCAATTGACGTTACTTGGGAAGTTTAGCAAGGCCATTGTTTGGAAATATTCACTCAGACATTTTTTTTTTTTTGCGAGAATTTATGGGAATTAGGGAGTATATTTTTATTTTCAAGCTGTTTCCAAAGCATGCTTTTATATAATACTTTTAAACTGTAATAATTTGTGTAACATTTTTGTGTCACTATTGATTTATTGGCTGGTAAAAACTATAATAGATTAAATGTACATAAATTATTAATGTATTTTCAAACCTCTTAATTTAAAATCAGATGAGTAGCAATTCAAATACGGTGTTGCCTCGCTACTTTGCAGATTGGTTATTGTAGATTCACTCTATTGGGGATTTTGATTTGTGACCATAACTTAATGCTTTGCCATTTTACCTCACTATTTTGGCACATTTTCTTGCTATTTTCTTCTTTCTACGTCGGACGAGTCAAAAATGTATTTTATTTGGGGGTTGGGGGGATGAATTTGTTTGAACAAAAATCGAGACCATGAAAAAAAATCAGCTTGACCCCTACAGGGTATTTATATAAGAATGAGAATCACTTACTGGGAGGGGCTTGGAACGTACCACCTGCAAAAAGTGAGGGAACATGTAAACACACGTGTGTGTGTGGATGGATATATATATATATATATATATATATTTTTTTTTTCCCCACATACACACATATGTTAGTGTTGTGTGTTTCTCCAACAAAAGATAAGTCAACACATATCCTCGATACATGAGGTCTGATTTGATTCAGGACAGATTTGATTCACTGGGATTCAAATTCTCCATCGTATGGCTCAGTTCGTGAGGGTGTGATGCACTGAGTTTCTTGTCATTTGGCCTAAGAATGAACTTGTCAGTACTATAGATGTAACACTTCTTTCAAAGATGGATGTCTCCAATAAAAGATGATTTAATGCTGTACGTATTTTTGATATATTTTGAAGTGGAACGATTATGGTTCAATCTGATGCACTCGAATCTTCAATCAAAACCGTGGATACGCTTTATCTGAAACATAAAAAAAATATACGACTATACGCTATACATTTTGCCATGTTTGGAGCCATATGGCCACAGTGTATACATGCCAGAGTTGTGCTATCAAAAATGTGTTTTCCCTCATTTGGTTTCCCTTCAAGGACAAGGCAGGCAAGATGACGCTTCCTGTAAATTTCCCTGTGTTCCCACTAATTCCCATTCAAAGTGTCTAAATTTTAAAATCCCTCAAATTAATTTTGCAAGCCTTGCTCATGTCATGTGTGGGTTGAGAACAAAGCATTTGTATGTATTATTATGATTGTTGTTTGAAAGAAAAAAAAGTATTACCTTTTAGAGAAATGTTGATATATATATGTGTGTGTGTGTATATATATATATATATATACTGAGCATTTTTGTTTTTTGTTGTTAATCCTGTTGTTATATATATATATATATACACACACACACATATACATATTAGCTTAAATAGGGAGGGCAAACAATGACTTCTTTTTCTTACTGTAAACTTTTACTACTCTTGTACATTAGGAATTTGTTGTTCGTGTGGATATTAATTCAGTTGCGTTGTTTTCTAAATCAAGAGAATATTTTCTGTTGTCAATGACGACGCAGCCCACTACACAGGAGAAGAGCCTGTGGAAACATACACGTACCGTACACACTTTGTGCCACCCCCCCCCCAATGCGGGCCAAGCGCATCACTGAGGCGTGTTTAGTTTGTGTCGGTTCCCCCAATGCGAGCCCAAATGCATCACCAAGGCGTGTTTAGTTTGGGTGTTTTTTTTTGGGCGGGGGCTAAATAATGTGTAAACTGGACGAGACCACTGCACAAAATTTGGAAAGGGAGGAAGACGAGTGATGAAATAAGCTATGAAGATGGTTCAACCACCTTTTTTTTTTTTTTTAACCCTTTCCCCCAAGTTGTAAAGTCGGATTGCGACGGTTTCTTAAAGCGATGAATTAATTTTTGGAAAAAAAAGTACTCTTGATGATTTTAATTCAGATTTGTCGCATTTGTTATGGACAGATGGGTGTCTGTCCAGTGGTCTGCTCCAGTTTCACACAGCAGTGCTTTAGTTTGAAAGTGTTGTCTCCTCAGTGCACATACGTATTGTCGCTTGGAGTGGCCACCGTGTTGTGTCGTTGTCGTGCAGGTTACCTCTGTTCATCTTTGTTCATGCTGATGTGTTCGTTTTGGGGGGGATATGTTGCGTACACATTCCTGTTGTGAGTCTGCAGCAGTCAGAGTGTGTGTGTGTGTGTCTGTGCGTGTGTAGTCCAAACCCAGAGAGATCGCTTCCTCCCTCACACTGGATCCAAATGTGCCATTATCATTATGCATCACATATATCAACACATTCACACACACGCAACACATATACACACACACACGCACACACAGAATTACATGATGTATATTGTACAGGATCAAAAGACAAAAAATGTGCCATGACTAAATGAAACGCTTGACAATTTATTTTTTCTATGTTTTCAAAAGGAGAGCCAAGTAGTGACATGTACAGAAAATGTTGCAATGATATGAAAATACAAATCTTGCTGTGTGTAAATTATTCAACAATTAACTGTTTATATTAAAATTATTAATAAAATTATTGGAGAATGTCTTTTCTCTCACTTCTTAGCGGAGGCAGTGATGTGAGGTGTATACATTTTTTGTTGGATTTTTTTTTTTTTTAGGTTATTTACATTTGAATTTTATTTCATGCAGTTGTCATGGTCTCATGTTCATCCTCAGTTTATTGAATAGATTCTCAGAAATGCGTTTTGAACAAGTCAGCATGTCTAGTTATGTCTATAATACACACACACGCACACATACACACACACACATATATATATATATATACTGTATATACAATCACCTTGACAACAGAAATACAAATTTTAATATGGGTGAAATATGGGCATACATGCAAAATATGGGCTTTTAATGTATTTCATTTTTCATCATACTTTTTCAATGCATGCATAAAACAATCCAGTCTTGAACAACAAAGGGCTTGAACAATCACAAAAATAACCACGAAACTGCTTAACAGCAAACTGACATTAAATGTAAGAACTAATTTTTAGCATTTAAAAAAAAAATCTAGTGCTAAGTAGCGACATTACAACTTAAAACTATACAGTGGAATCACGCTCTTGGCGGGGAATATGGACCGGCTGGCCCGCCCATTGCCAAAATCAGTGTACAATGGATGGGCATTGAAATGCATTGGGAAAAAAATGAATAATACCCCCAACGTTTTTTTTTATTTTTTTACTTTATTTTTTTTATTTTTATTTATTATCCTTACTATCAATCAAAGGGCCACTCACCGGCATGCAGATGCAAGCTGCCAGTTACCCGTCCCTGATATAATTTGATACTTTAATATGGCAGAATTTATTTACTTGTAGTATTCAGATGGCAATGTTGACAGCTGCGTAATATAAATACATACGTTGATTCAGCAAAAAATATATACATGCATACAGTTTTGTGGTCTACAGAGGATATTTAGGGCTTTACGCTGGGACCAAATGTGAAGGGGTGGGACCTTTTATAGAGGAAAATGGCTTACCTCTGTGCAAGCACATTTTATAGGAAGAGGGAAAGTTAAGTGTCCTGTACTTTTTGCCGGGAAAATTTTGGCTTGAAATGTTGTTTGCAGTTATTTATTCCATTTGGTTCTGTTCTTTTTGAATGACAAGATAAGGAGTCATCCTCGGAAACGGAGAGAATTTTACTGCCAGTCCTTGCTGCTCTTGACAAAAGGATGTCTGAGTCTGCCTAAACCGGAACATTCTGCTGTGACGAGCAAACGGTCGCATTTACTGTTTGAATCCCAGTCTGTACCAGGTCATCCAAACCCAACTGGATTGCAGATCTTTGTCTTGACTGCACCAACTGGTCAAGATTTGGACTTGGCATTCCCCAAGGCAAGACTGCCTTCAGAGTTAAAGGAAGAAAGGGCAATGAAGGAAAAAAAACAGCTCTTTTTTGCCAGAGTCTGTTCCCAGAGGCACCCTTCTTTGACAGGTACGTTATCAATCTCCTTGACACCCTAATGATCAAAAGGACTGATGGGGACTTCACGAATAAATGGGTTTCATCCTCATGTTGACTTTTTGATATTCTTCTGTTGACGTCAAAGTTCAGTTTCACCTGTATGGGGTTCCGATGTCCACTAGGCATACAATAGCTTGGAAAGCCTTATGAATTCTTGTCATCATTGTGTACATTTGATCCCATTTAACTGAAACGATCTTTGTATTTAGCCCAAGGCTGGGCAAACATTTCTGTTTGATGGTCATATTTGATTTTTAAAATGGGCTGCATAACTTATAGACAAAAAAAATTGTTTTTGTCAAATAGTTAGAATTTTCTTACCGTAATTATAGTCAACACATGAATTCAAAAGAAAACTGCAGAAAGTGTTTTATATTGTTTACTCGGATCTTATTTAGTCATTTACAACAAGTCACTAGAAAATAATACTGTAAATACAGTTGAATGAACATATTTTAGGCAACATGGAGCTAAATTATTTTATACCTATTATCGGCCTCTTGATAAAGTAAAATGCTTGGTGGGCCAGATTAAAGGAATGAGTGGGGCCCCAAAAAACTTTTTGAAGTTAAAAAGTACATCAGAGAGTTGTGAACTGTAGTTTAGCATGTACACTATGTAGTCAATCAATCAATCAATATGCCATCATAACCATGTTGCTCAATGTACAAGCGGACGTGCACAAAGCTGCAAGTTGTGTGTGTGTGTGTGTGTGTGTGTGTGTGTGTGTGTGTGTGTGTGTGTGTGTGTGTGTGTGTGTGTGTCACACATGAGGAAATCCACCAGTGGATGAAAACAGTTTGTTGTGTCTTTGTGCAGAACGACCCAAAGAGGAAACTGCCCTGACTCAATCTCTGGCTGCCAGTCATCATCGTCAATCAGTGTGAGGACAAAGTCGGAACAGAACACCCTCGCACCTCCTTTCAAATGGAAGTAAGTACACTTTGACGGATGCTAAAAAAGTGTGTGACCACGATGTTCTTTTATGTGTTATCTATGTTAAAGCGGTGAGGAGTCTTGGATGTGAGAATGTTTTTGTGCCTGCCCTCACTGTGGGAAAGTGCCCGGAGTTTTTCCACTCCATGTGCACACTACTCAATTTGACACTCATCCTGCGTATTACACAAGAAAGGTGGCGACCATTTAGTTACCAGCTTAAAGTTGTCTTCGATAGACACAGCTTTGTTTAAAACGTACGTACGCTGGTTGTTTTTTTTTTCTCATTACAGAATAAATTGAGAATATAATGTTTGACTGGTCCACAGCCTTTCATAAGGCACACTTCCTTTTTTCAGTTCATGTGTCATTTTACGAAAACTGCGTAATCTCTCAAGCGGGAATGATATGTTTTCTTTTGTTTTCCCTCTTGATCCGAAGCAATTTTGAATCTTCATTGAAGAAGCACACATCAGGCAAATTGTAGATTGAGAGCTTGATTGTAATTGGGCTGCCCAAAAGGCATTGGTCAAAAAGTAAGCACATGAGTTATTGCTACATTCTTTAAGCACGATTGTGGTTTCAAGTCAAGTGGTTTATGTTCTTCATCATCCATTGGTGGACAGCAGTGGTTCTCAAACTTTTTATATACCAAGTACCACCTCAAAAATATTCGGGATCACCATAAAGGCCAACAATAAAAGACAGTAGCATAGCAGGCCCACGTGTTCATTATAAATGAGATGGAGGTCAATACAGGAAGTCAATTCGGACACAATCTGGGTTGTAAGATTTAAAAAAAAAATTTTTTTAATCAAAAAAGCATGCAAAATTGCACAAAAATCCACAATATAGCGTAGCAAGCCCGTAAAAGGTAAACCACTATATTTAATGTTGAACACACACAAAAAAGGGAGTTTGCACGTTCTCCTTGTGATGGTGCATGTTAGGTTCACTGAAGACTGTAAATTGTCCATTGGTGTGAATCAGGTTTATAACCGTTTTTGGGGGGGGGGGGATTTTTCATTTTGGTTAATTTTTATGTCATTGATGAGTTTTTTTTTTTTTTTAATTAAATGTAGTTACTTTTAATGATTTTTTTAGAGCACATTTGTTTTTATTGGTGTGTGTATGTTTTAGAAAATGCTTCATTTTAGTGTAGTTATTATCAGTTTTAGTATTATTTTTATTTGTATTTTTTTTAAATTAATATGGAGAATCTGTCGAGTGCAAAATAAACGTAGTCGTTCTTGCGCCGATCGGATTGACTTGGTAACACACAAAGGCTGAAGTTTGATTAGATGAAAAATCCAACCGCCACACCAGACCAGAAGCAATGCATCCGGGAGAAACACTCGCAAATGAAGAGAATAAACCGTGTATTGATGCAAATTCATGGAAGAAATATTAGAATTAGGTGATCATAAATGGTAACTGCTTCCAATAATGTTTAGGCCAGCAGAAAAGGCCTTGCTGGCTCTGCCACTCTTAAAATGTTTTTTTTTTTTTTTTTTTTTTTTAATCCAGCCTCTTTTATTGGATGTTATTAGTTTGAGGTAATCCCTGAGAGCAGCAGCAAACCCCCTCCTGCTCTCCTCCCCTGACGTTCACTCCTCCTTTTCTTCTGCCTCCCCCCTCCTCTTCCTCAGCTGCCGGTACCACAGCAGCAGCAGCAGCAGCAGCAGCAGCAACAGCAGCAGCGTGCCACAGTTCCAGCTGACCTCCACAGCGCTGCTCGCATGGCGGACGCTCCACTCAACAACTCCTGGCCCTCCTTCTCCAAGCTCTGGATGAAAAGGTGGTCCTTCAAGAGAGGTATGTGTCCAACTTGGCGGCATTTTCTTTTCGACTGACTTTTTGGGACCTTGCAAGACTCGATGTTGGGTGAACTTAGTCCAATCAATTAGCATCAATTTTGCATGGAAACACATTTATTTGAGGACAAGCAAGGCCTAATCTCGTGTCATTGTTGAATGGGCGGCAGTTGTGCGCAATATGTTAGCATTGGGGCAATATGGCGGAGCAGAAACAAACAGGAAGTGTTAGATGTGCATCCAAGCACGAGGTAGAACATCAAAGCTGTTTTGAGAGCTCACACGAGTTTGCTCACACGAGTTTTCAGGTTGTAGCTTACACACACACACACACACACACACACACACACACACACACACAAAACCACAATTTGAAATGTCAGCCACTATGACATTACCCATTATATCACAGGTGGCAAATCAAAGGCCCAAGGGCCATATCTGGCCCGCCACATCATTGTATGTGGCCCACAAAGGCAAGGAAGGCAAGGCAAGGCAAATTTATTTGTACTGCACAATTCAACAGCAAAGTGACCCAAAGTGCTTTACAAAGACATAAAAAAAACCCAAAGGCATTCAAACAAGGAAAAAAAGAAACAAAGACCTAAAAATATTGCAACGACGTTGATTTCTGCTTCAACGCTGATCCATTGGTTCAACCATCATTGAAGATCATCTAATTAAAAGCAAACGTGAACAAATGGGTTTTTAACCTTGATTTAAAGAAACTCAAGTGTCTTGCCTGATCAACACTCTTCTGGGAGTTTGTTGCACATATGCGGGGCATAGAAGCTGAATGCTGCTTCTCCATATTTAGTTCAGACTCTCGGGATAGAGAGTAGAGCGGTCTCTGATGTTCTCAGAGTTCTCGGTCGTTTACATTCAATGAGCGTTAGGTACTAAAAGTTGCAAGCCAGTGTAATGACTGGGATCATATGATCCATTTATATGGTTTGAGTTAGGACTCGAGCTGCAGCATTTTGAATTAATTGCAAATGCATGGATGAGTTTGGTCAGGACCTGCTGAGATATAAACTTTTCTCCGCAGTTATTCGAAAATGTATTTTTTTTTTTTTAATGTTTGGTTTTTACGTTTAAAATATCATTTGAATGGCAACCACAATATAAATAAGATCAGGCACTCAGCAATGGCTGCTGTAATGATAACTGATGAGTACCCAACAAGTTGAATCGGGATGAAAACGTTTGCCGTCATGTGGTTATAACGAAAACGCCGAGTAAAATGACATTTCAAGAAAACATTTTGGCGGAGGTAGCCATTATGTGATCATGTTTTAATCACATGACGACCATCAAAAGTTCCTCTTGTGATTGTCATGCTGCTCGGCACACCGATGAACGTTCAGCTGCCCGTTTCCTTTTTGTTCTTTTGCTCTTTTTTTTTTTTTTTTTGTGGTTGCTTTTACCATTGTTTGTTGTTGTGATTTGAATTATTTATTCATTTCTTACAGTAGGTTTTTACTATACCTGGAATGCAGTATAGGTACTGTTTTTGTTCTTAATCATTCACTTGCGATTTAATCCTCCAGCTTTCAGATTCCGAAATGAATAAAACGGAAGTAATGTGAGTTATTTATTCTTTCTGTGCGGCCCGATACCAAATGACCGACGGACCGGTACCAGTTCGCAGCCCGGGGGTTGAGGACCGACCGGTACTTTATATGATTAAGGGTTGTGTTCAATTCAATGAATATTTCCAAGCTCAATAATGAACATTTTCTGTTCCGGACTTCAATGTTCATTTTCAGGTAAAACAAAGGAAAAAAAGCAAATAATTTTGGCCTTGTTTTATTAGTTGTAAAATCCAGCACCATCCGGCACCATATTGTGAGACAACTTACCCTGTGGTGGGGCAAAAAATGGGGATTGTCCGGTACTGACGCAAAATATGAAAATGACATGAATATAAAATATTTCCCTGAGACTTTGGTCTTTCATCAGGTACACATTTTGTTTATATCTGATGGATTGATTCCAAGAACTTTTCAAGCATGTAAAAAGTGTGAAGTCAAGCCTCGGTCTCCCCGACATCTAATACGATTTGTAAATTAGAACAAATATGATTATGTCTACAAAAGATAAACCGTGAACTAGATAAACTTGTAAAAAAGGAGGTGACAGAATCCAACATTCAATGTGTTGTCTCAGGAGATTTTGTAAAAGTGATTTACTCTTGATGACATTGAATCCAGCAGCAGATCACTTGCAGTGAAGTGGAGACTAAGCTGACAATAACAAGACCACCCCCCCCCCCCACACACACACACACATACGCACACACGGTCACACGCACGCTCGCACGTACGCACGCACGCGTTTGATGGTGGTGTGATGTATTATCCGTTACACATGAGCGACCATAAAAGGCGTTTTGCAAGCTGCCATGTTTATAAATGCTTGTGATGCAGTCTTATAGAAAATACAGTCAATGTACGGTCCAGTATGTCAGCGTGTCTGACGCTGGGTTTACCTGGCGTCTCTCTGGCTGCCATGTTTGCGGTTTATTGTGTCTTGCTGCCCGGGCCTGTCTGCATTTGATTTTACAACATGAAAGCTGCTCTGATGAAGTTACAGTACAATAATAAATGCACACAGGGGAAAAACAAAAGGACTGATGACGAAGTTAATATTAAAGTCCACAAAGTGCAGTGCAAACTACATTTTCTGAAGCAGCCTTAAATGGATTAGTCAGCCGGTTTTCTGTGGTTCTCATCATTTTATCCTGATGTCACAACATTGGAAAAAAAATATGAATCAATTAAAATATGTTCAATTAAAGCAAAATATGCTTGGTCATTTTCTGCCAAGATATTTGTTCTTACCGGGCAGTTTTTGTGAATGCAATACGACATCTGTTTAGATATAAACACACAAGTTGTAACACAATGCTGGTGGGGTTTTTTTTTTTTTTAGGCTGGCTATCTTTACTTGTTTGAGGAAATATTCCCATTCTTTGCAGATACTTCTGCTTAAATTAAGTAATATATTCTTCATTTCATTATTTTGTTATTTAATTATTTACTACTGAATTACTTGTAGCTTGTTTGAAAAAAAAAAAAAAAGTTTCAGTTGGTGCAGTGTGGTACCCTCATGTGGCCAGTGCCGTCCAAAAAGCCAAGGTAAAATCTAAACACTTGTGGCTCACTGAGCTGAAGTCTCATCGAATAAGGCGTTTCTCAACATGTGTGAGTGCCGTGAGTGCTACACAAGCTCCCTTTTTATGTTATGCGGAACAATTACAGAAAGATGTGGAGAGAGGAGTGTCGGCGTACAGTGCGGATATATATTTGGACCTGAGAGTTGAGCGCTTGGAATTGAAGCGGATTTACATTGGTGCAGGAGAAGCGAACCCATCACTTTTTTCGTCAGTGGAAGTGACAGATTCTTGTTTCCTTTCAAAGTTAACTTGGATCAGACGTGTGCACATTTTGAGCAGGACGTCCCTGATCCACTGGTGAAAGGACAAACCACAAAGCGTATGAGGGGAAAGTGGTTAAGATTGCATGTCCATGTCTTATGTTAAGTGTTGTGTTATAATCCCATAAATTGTTATTTTATATTCACTATTCTGTAAAGCGCTTTGTTACAGCTGCAGCTGTTATGAAAGTGTTATCTAAATAAAGATGTGTTGTATTGTATTGCATTGTACTTGCAGATGTATTTTGGAGTGTCAGGTATTGTGTTTTATATGGGAATGTTTCTGACTTTTCCACACTAATAAGTACATCATATGACCTTTTGGGGAGAAGGTAAACAAGCTGGTCAGCTGAATTCAAGTAGAAAAAAAAAAGAGTGAAGACGTGTGGAGCCAGGCTGGCTTAGTCTCAAGCTTGGCTTCACGGGAAACGCTCTTATGAAATACGACTTACGTAAGCTGTCATAACTGTGGCTTTCCCCTCCGCTGATGGTGTGGCTTAAATCGCCATGGAAACCTTGACATGACGCCCAAACAGAGTTTTCAGACATTTCGATTGAAATATGAAAAGGTTAGCGCACTTTTGAAACACGCACCACAGGCTAATGAGATCCAATACTTGAGTTCTGTCAAAACAATACAAATTGAATTATGGTCACTTATGATTGACAGGCAACGAGGTGATCCTACCTACACATTGAACTTTTTCATTCATTATTTTTCAGCCTCTGAGTGCAAGCCACACAGCGGACCAATTGGACAAACAAGTCGACGTGCTAGTAAACAAGCGAGTGGACCGTGGAGTGGACCACATGTTGCACTTCCCGCTCCTGCGGGGACAATGTCCTCGCCCTCTCCATCGCCTCCCTCCGTCACTGAGGTTGTCTTTTCGGAGGGCACCAACGAGGATCAGGTATTTGATATTTAATACAGAGGATATGTTATGGACTGGTCGGCATTTAATTGCAGGGAACATAGTCTTGACTCAATCTGAAATGCAACCTTTTGAAAACGGGGAGAAGCCTGAGCCAAGACTCAAATCTCAGAATTTAGGTTTGTGCATTTTCAGCGCTGTCAATTTGAAATAATGTCCTCTTGTTGTATAAAGGGATGAACATTAAAACATGTTTTGTTTTTTTATCTGGTTTATCGATTCAAAATAATCGACAGATTCATCAATTATATCAACATTCCACTTTGCTAAAAGAGGCGATGCCTCATCATAACAAATAGTTTGCCTGCATTGTATTTGGATGACACCACTTACACTGCTGAACAAACTGGGATTTTTCATTCTAGTTTTTATTTAGTTTTAACTCGAGTTTTTTATCAATTCAATTAGTTTTGATTAGTTTTCAGAGAGGGTTTGTTAGTTTTAATTAGTTTCTATTTTTTCAAAACTATCTGTTTAAGCTCAGTTTTTATTTGTTTTAGGGTTACTGTATATCGATCTAGCTAGCTAGCTAGCTAGCTAGCTAGAGCGAGCTATCTCTCTCTCTCTGTGTGTGTATGTATGTATATATATATATATATACAAGTTAATGTGCACACATTATGGATCTGCAAAAAGTCACGTATGAAATGACTTGACAAAGACAAAGGACATTTTCACTATCACAGTCAGTCTGATTTAGTTTCATAAATGTGAAATACAGTTTCAGTTACTTTGCATTACTGTACACAGTTACATTGTTTTTTTCTATATTCCACTTTAAGAACAATAACGAATTAAAACTTAACCTCGCACTCAACCAGTCCAGGGTGTGCCCTGCCTCTTGCCTGTAGTCAGCTGGGAGAGGTTCCAACGCAACCGTCACCCTAATAAGAACGAGTGCTATCGAAAACGGAGGATGGATTGATGTTTATTACAATAGTTTGCAGTGGTGTAGAAGTGCAGTGCATCATACGGGGAAGTGCAGCTAAAACCGAAATGTTAGAAAAAGCTGTCACAATGATGCAGTGCAGTTTGACAACACTGTAAATGTAAATTGTGTGCCTGATACTGCAGACAATGAATCAGGTCTTGGGGCTTCCTTGATGAGAAACAATGAAGGACAAATCCGGAGCGGTTCTAGGATGAGAGGTTTAGGAGTGTTGAGCTCCCGGCCAAGAGAAATGGTACTCTTTTTTTCAACATTTCAATGCAATTCCATCGCCGCATTGAAGAAAGAGAAGCATCACACCTTTTTTTTTTCCAGTCTGTGACAAAACCATCAAGTCAATTTATAAAACAAACATACAGTTACCCTACTATCGTTGAAATTTGATACCTTAGTACCTTGTACATACATACACATTAGCGGTATTAATTTTTTCTGAAGTAAACCGGAAAACCAGTGAGTACTAAAAGTACCAAAAATTGACCTTGTACTTTAATGTGAAATGTAATGCATAACATGTAAAACACAACAACGGGAAACATTTAAAACATAGAATCCTTTCTTTGCTCCTCCCTTTCTCTGTGTGCTAATAAAAGTTTTAATGCTAATTAATAGTCATCTGGTTAGTAACCGGTAGCTTGTCAGTGATACCTTTTGTTTTAATAACAACACATGCTTGTGACACAAGTGCAAGCTTCTCTCATTCCACTTCAAACATGAGACAACGGTGCTGTTTCCGGCCACCTGGAATGTGTCTGACCTGTCACCAAACAGCATAAACGGTGACCTTTGATTCAATGCAACAAAAATGAGGAAGGGTAATGATAATAGTGTTGTCAACAAAGCACTATTACCACAGTGTTCGTGATGAATAGTCGTTAAGAAATGTCACACATAAACTGTGTCCTGGTTTGAGCCAGGTCCAGTACTTTACAACTGTTTATCACTGGAAGGTAGTGCATTGCTTTTTGATATCTTGCGCTCAAAGCCCTGTCAGGAAGCTGTGGGAGGGATTGGGCAGAACAAACCATTTTTGAGGCAAGGGTGGTGCTATAATGTTTGTTGTTTAAAACTTGTTTCAACAAAGTACGTTTTTTGTTTTTTTAAAACACTTTTTTCTAGATCGTTTGAAAAGGGTACAGTATGCAGTCATAAATACATAAAGAGATACATAAATAAATAAACATCTCCAATTATAAGGGTGGTGGGAATCAATTTAGTGGTGTTGTAGCTACACTACCGTACTTACAACGGACTTCAAGTATCTTTCCATGAGTATTTATTTTTCTAATGCATTTTTACTGTATACTCTACATTTTAAAACAGATATCAATACCTTTTATTCCCTACTATAGCTTAGCAAGCTATGGGAACGTGTTTTGATAGCATAAAAGTCGAGCCAACGCGAACTAGCTCATTGAACTAGTACGAGCACTCTGTAAAAGCATTTTTTTTTTTTTTGCCATGTTATCAAAATAGGTCTACAATTTTGTACATTTCGGAATTTGTACTTTTTTGTGACTGTAGTACAGGAGTTGTATCAGTACAATTTTTGTTTTTTTTACCAAAGTCTTCCACAAGTAGCTCTACTTCTATACTTTAGAACGGGGTGTCAAACTCATTTTTCTCGTGGGCCACATTAGAGTTACCGTTTTCCTCGGAGGGCCATTATGACCAAATAAAAGACGTCAATAATAACGGTTTATTCAACTATTGTTTAAGTTACTATAATGAGGGCTTTCGTGACAAGAAAATGCTTACAATATGTCTCTTATTTATTACATATGAAAATGTTAAATTTTGGTCGAGGTTTTAGCAAGCGTCATGCAAGTTGACATGCTTGATTTGCATCCCCGGGCCACATAAAATGAATGACGTGGCGGGCCGGATCTGGCCCCTGGGCCTTGAGTTTGACACCTGTGCTTTAGAACAAAGTGTGAGTGCTTTTGCCACCAGTTGTCCTTTTCCCTTGCAGGATGAATCGTCTGTAGTGAGCGAGTCTGAGGTGAAAGGTGTGGAGGTGAGCAGCAGCACGGATGACCTGCAAGGTCTTAGCTCTTCCTTTGGAGACTCGGACTACTTCAGAGACCTGGACATGAATCTCGACGGTCCGTTGAAAACCAGCAGTCCCGAGCTGGCCCCCCAGACCATAGCGCCCCATCTGACTGAGCGAGCATCATCCGAAGAAGCGCCCGGCCCTCTTGTGGTTACCCAGCTGAGCCCCAAACTCTTGCCGAGCTGTGTGATTGACAGCCACGACTCCTTCGACCTGGGAGTTGGTCTGAGCGTGACCATTGATCTGGACGGACTGTTGGGATCAATGGAAGCAAGTCCCACCGAAAGAGAATCATGTAACCATGGAAACACAGTGCGTTTAAATGGAGATGTTGACGTCGACAGTTTTCCTAATTTAGTGAGATCCATGTCGACCTCGCGAAGACACAGCTGGGGTGTCCCCCTTGCGCCCATCAACCTGGGAAGGAGGTACTGCTCTCATCATTTCTTATCTATACTTATCACTGTATTCTCCATCACTCAGTGTGTCCCATATTCTTTTCAAAATCATGTCTAATGTTTTCAGAATATTAATTAAGACTTTTTTTATGATGGGTATCTATCAGTCAGATGATGTCGTGAGAGGTGGGCTACACCCTGGACTGGTCGTCAGCCAATCACAAGACATATGTAGACAAATGACCATTCATACTGACATTTACACATATGGTCAGTTTAGAGTCTTGCACATTTTTGCTGCACTGCAATTGGCCGGCGACCACTTCATGTTTGAGTCAGAAGCACGAGAAAATGGATGGCTTTCAGGTTTTTGGAATGCGAGGGGAAGTCATCGTACAAAGAGATAATCCACACAAGCACAGAAGGAACACGCAAACCCCACACATGAAGGCCTCAGCTGAGATCCGAATCCTGAAAATTTAAACTGTGAGGCCGACATGCAAACCACGAGTGCACCACGCTGCCTTACTGGGCCAAAGGGGCCAACATATGTATTATATAAATTTTTCCCGTGAGTCCAGAATCCAGATTTGTAAGTCTCAGCAGAGGTCAGTGCTCCGTCGGTTCTCATGTTTGAAATGACACAAACCTGTAACTAAAAAAAAAAAAACAAGACCGTAGCCGGTTTGTGGATGTTTTTTTTTTGTTTGTTAGTTAAGGCATTTCTCCTGATGGAAAAATTAAAAAGTAGAACATCAGAGCTTGATTTGGATTTAACCACTGGCACTTTAAATGGTGACAATTGTGTGCTGACTCCCATTTAACATTTGTTTGAATATAAGTAATTTATTCTCACTACAGCACAGTTATGAGGGTTTTTTTTTAAACTTCCCTGAACAGAGGCGTGTAGGCTTTTTACACGACGGCAGTCTCTGATGAAAAGGGCCATATTATTTTGTGTGGTAACAAAAGTGAGTCAAGCAAACATGTATTCAGACTTTATTCAGGTCCGAACCAAAGTTAATTTTTTTCCATGAAATTCACTTTGTCCAGAGGTGTGAACGTGTGTGTGAGTGGTTGTTTGATGAGTTAGAAGAGAAGAGGATACTGGTTTGAATGACAATATTTACTCCTGCTTGTGTCGATGCTTGTCAGACTGAGTCTCGACACCATTGCCGTGGACAGCGATGGAGATGAGGATGAAGAAGAGCACAATGATCCCTTCCAGTCCACCCAGCAGAAGACTGACAGTTGCATTGCCTGTTCACTGGAGGAAACAGACGGTCCCAAGGAAAGGGTCTCCTCTCCCACCGCTAAGGTACAGTGGCTGAAATTGTGTCACGTGGATGCAGCTAACTTTTAACACGACACTCAAAATACAGTGATACTTTATTGACAGTGTAATGAAAAAAAAGGACTCTTCATTACGTCACATCCCTTCACTTAATATTAATCGTATGCACTATGGAGCGAACACTTGGAACTACCGGTAATACATTGTCATTGTCACGTTTGCGAGGTGGTGGTGGACCCCAAAAAAGCAGGCAGGAGGGAGGAGCAGGGTGTACTTGAAAGATTGTATTAAAACTCAGAAAACTAAATCCAAAACAAACAAAGTCCAAAGTATCAAACAAAACTCATAACCGAAGACAAAACATAACAATGACCAAAACCTGACTGAAACAAACATGACCGCAAACAGCAACAAACAAACATGACAGTAGCACAAAGCAACAATGACCCGACAATGATTGTTCGGGCTGGGAGTCCTTTTAAAGCCACTAATTACCTAATGACCAACAGGTGTGCAGCTGCAGGGAGAGCCCTACAGTGCCACCTGTTGGTAACTTTCCTGTTACATTTGTTCATACTCTATAATGCAGGATATGCATGCATATATTTTTTCAATTACACGGCAGAAAATAGAATGAAAAATTTTTTTAAACAGGTATTGAAAGCTTGTTTTGTATGATGCACTGAATACTGACAAATATAAAATCTCAAACTTTCCCCAATAGTCTGTCAGTTTCATGCAAACACATTTTATTTTCAATGCAACTAATCCTGAGAATGTATGTGGTCTTATTGGTCTTATGGCTCTTTAATTGTGACCAACATAAAATTAAGAAATGAAAGTGTACTTGGTTGCACTTTTTATGACGTAAGTGAGGTTAATGGGCTCAGGAGCAGTTCACAGCAATTGTTTTTTTTTTTGTTTTTTTTTTAATCCAGACTCAAATCAAAACATTTAAACTCATTGTGCTGTATTGGCAACCCTTGCGACAACCTCTATAAACCCTGAATGCACAATTCTGATCTATCGCTGGTTATGTTTGCAAACATTTCAGACTGATGGCGTTCCCGGCAAGCAAGTGTATTCCCGCTCGGAGATCCTTGCCACGGATGAATGTTCACGTGCAGCACACATCTCTCGTATTGTGCAGACATCCAAACAGGCTGCGAGGGCAGCAGGAGGTGGGTTTGACTGTAACACGTGTAGAGCAGGGCTTGGCAAACTGGGCTCCGGACAACACAGCGGTCCTTCAAGCCATCGCTTAGCTTATATTTTTTTAATACAGTCCTCTTTTTAAGTTGAGCTTTTGCAGTTCAATTGTTGACATTGGACTTTCTTCCTTCATTTAATTTTAATGTCATAATACTGCAACTATATCCCAGCACAAGTTGAGTGAAACGCGCAATCTAACTGTGCGCATGGGTGGATTTTTTTTTCTTTTGGTATTTTCGTAGACACACTTGTAGGTGTTTGCGCTGTTGTGGGAGTGAACACAGCCAATTTGCTTCCTGGCCAATGGAACTGAATCCTCTCATTTCTTTTAAACTCAGATGTGGAGACAAACACAGTCCATATGGCCTAAACATAAACAGACTCGCTGGAGTCCCTGCAGGAGATCTACGTGCGGAATGTACCATTATAAAGAACTGCAGGCAGATCTCCACTTGTGGAAAATGTAAAATTGGCCGCTCTGAACTGAGCACTTGGAGGCCACCTTCCACCTGAAATCGTGTGTCTGTGAAAATTTTGACCCTTAACGTTTGCAAACCCCTCATGTTGAAAACAGTAAAAAGTCACTTTCATCATGTTAACATTCTTTCCTTGTCTGGTGTAGCAGAGGAGTTTGACCCTGAGGAACACCTGCACTCCAATGAGGGGCAAAGTCATATGTAAGTCGACACTGTCATCAGTGAAGTGTGCTTAAACCCTCTCGAGTGAGGTCAGAGTATTACAGTACATGACTATGTGACTCCATCTGATCAGGCTGAACGATGCTTGAAAAGATAACTCTTTTGGTTTTCTAGTTCGATCCCATTAGGGGAACTGATACTGTGCACTGTCAAAAAAAGACTCCCATTGTTCATTCTACATGCCATCTGTGGAAATTGTAAAAACTCAAGGAGGGCGACAATTTCTCACGTTCACACACTGAGAGAGTGTGTCGTTTATATATGAAAAAACATTGCATTCACACATTTGCAGTTAGTGGTGAATTATATATGTAGAAGTCACTACACATCCATCCATCCATCCATCAATTTCTCATAGCGCTTATTATCATTAGGGTCACGTTTGAGCTGGAGCTTATCCCAAAAAGACTTCACATGGACAAGTCGTCAGCTAATTGTTTTTTCGTCAGTACATCAGGTTTCCTTGTTCTTCTTTTTCTTCATAATAATAATAATCATTATCATCATCATCATCATAGTCATAATAATAATAATAGTGAAGAATAATGATGATCAGAATGATGATGACAATAATAACACTAGTCGCTGTTGGTGTAGTGGTACACTCGCCTGACTCGCGTGCCAGCACCGTGGGATCGGTTCCTACTCAGTGATGGTGCGGATGTGGGTGTGAATGGCTCTTTGTCTCCGTGTGCCCGGCGACTGACTGGCGACCAGTTCAGGGTGTGCTGCGCCTTCCACCCAAAGTCAGCTGGGATAGACTCCAGCTCACCCCCGAGACCCTGCACAGTATAATTGGTGTTTAAAGTGAATGAATGAATAAATTAATTCAATGCAAATTCAAGCGCAGATACTCCTGAATAAACTATTGAATATCACTATTTGAACTTCACAAATTAATCAGATTAAAATGTTTTAGTTAAGTACAACTACTCATCAATCACATCCATAATATGAACCGCTTGTCCTCACAAGGGTCGAATGGATTTTCAACTGACAAGAGATTGAACTATTAAAAGTCATGAACTATACATGCCTTCAAAAAAGGTGACTGACTGATTGATTGATTAAAATTGTATTCCAACGACACCCTCTAAAAAAAAACAAGAAATGAAAACTACCACCCAAAAGAATACCATACTGAAAGACCACGTACTGTACTTAGTTAGATCCTACCACGTAATTAAATACATTTAATCAGTTCTAACCATGCTAGTTTTAAAAGGAAATGTTTTGTAAACAACATCAAAATGAGTTAAAGTACAGAGATAAAAAATTAACTGACAATAAATGACCTTGCATTTCAAGAGTTAAAACTGCCCCATTGGCCAACTGAATAATTGCCCGATAGTGGCGCCTCCCAGAGGAACAGGAAGTCACACAAACTGCAAGACACCAATAAGTATCTGGATTCATCAGACGTGTTTCTTTGTATATTTCTCAACTGAATCAACACCTCTGTATAAAATACAAAAAGGCCAAACGCCCCAGAGAACTACCCCCCCCTCCTTTCCCCCATTTCACTCAAGTCACCAGCCGTCTTTGAGAGTCGTAGCCCGAAAGGTACACAACGGTTATGTCTGTGCGCTTGTGTCATGCTTGTGTGCTGGTGCGCACACGGTGTACTGCATCTGCGGCTTGTTATGTTCTCATACAAACAGACATCTCCTCCCACAGAACACATCACAGAGGGGCTTTCCCCATTCCCTGCTGACATCTCTGCTCCATGTCATGTGTCTGCAACCACCTCCTCCCACTACTGTCCTCTCTCCCACCATCCCCTTAGATGGCGTGCGTGCGTGTGTGTGTGTGTGTGTGTATGTGTGCGTGTGTCTCGAGTAGATGCGCACTTGTGTGAATGTGTCAGTTACTTTCCTTTCCTTTGCTTTGCTCCAACTCAGCCCCAGTGTCTTGTTTGTCTTAGGCTGATGGTACAGAAAGTTCTGCAGGAGCTAAAGTTGTACCACGGGTAAGTAAACAGGCGGCTGCTCAAAACGAGGAGCAAGGAGCAATGTGTGACCGGTCTCAGGCACTGTGCGTGTGTGTGTGTGTGCGTGCATGTCACCAGGTTATATGGTCCTTGCAAGGGAACACTCCAAAAATATCTTATTTTCTCATGTCGTGGCTAAAGGGAGTATTTACTCAACTGCAGATGGGTAAATCATCTATAACACTGTTCCTTTGCTATATTGCGGTTCACCTACCATGGCCCTGCTTCATTGTAGATTTTATTTATTTATTTATTTTTTATGGAAGGCATCTATTGCTTTTGTCCCGGGAATCTGTTACGTGTGAAAGAGCATCTTTTTTAGGAAAGCATTCAGTATTGCTCTTCAGCGAAACATGAACACTGTGTCTCATTGGGGAAAGAGCCACGATTTGAGGAAATGCGTTATTTTATGAAATGAGTTGAGTGACACAGCAATCTCGATGGCATTCGTACATGCACTCTATTTCTGCTTGTACATTGTATTCTTTTATGTTCATTTCACATTATGAAGTTGATGTTTTGATTGCTACAGTGTGTCTACATTTCTCTATCTACACCATATCAATTCAAACGCCTTGTATATGTTTGTACACGTGATTGACTTGATTCTGATGAAAACAGACTGACAGTCTTTTCTCACAACACTCACAATATTTTGCATGTTTTCATTTGCTGTCCCTAACTAAGATGCTCAGCAGAAGGCTCCTCATGATAAAATATTGCTATTATGTTCCACAGAGCCAAACAGAGGAACAACAAAGCCAATGACAAAGATTCTGAAAATGTCACGTGGTACGAGTTCCTCTCCAATGAGTAAGTTCCCTTCTTCATGTTGCTGAATAAGACTGACAAGGAGCTGGGTGCAATTGTTTAGGTGCCCGTTCTATTCTACAGTTTTAAATTAATTAACCTTTATTGTGGACGTAGTAGTAGAACTTATTTAGTACACAAAGCCCAGTATTCAGTATTTGCATCCGAGTTACACACGCTGAAAACGTGCCTGCATTCATAACAGTGACCTCTGCCGCAGCCGGTGATAATTGCAGCAGGGGAAATAATTAAAATGTTTTTGTTTTGGGTTTTTTTACCCTCGAAAACCAATATCTCACTGGGTGCAAAAGTGTGTGTGCATGTAGCAAATATATATATATATATATATATATATATATAGATGAATGAAATTGCTATAATTATGACGAAGCACACAATCACAGGTCATTTGAGCAACATTGCAATTTCAGAAGTGTGTATCAGAACCAGTAGCCCATCCCATTAATCGAGACCTGTGAAGTAGCTCTCGTTTTCAAAAAAGGTTTGTGACCGGTTGGAAATCAAGAAAGGTGAAGTCATCAGTGGTATTGTTGAATGTTTTTCTTGATTCCCATCCCTGGGTGCAGGCAGCCATAGCTTTGACTCAAGAGAAACTAAGAGGTCATGTTTCTTACCACTTTACAAACACTATGCAGTAACTACTGAGAGAAGGAACGACCGAATGGCTTTTTGACCACTGGCCACGTTTATTACTGCTTTTTGAACAACAGTAGACTGCAGATGATGAGCAAAGACTCTATTCAGTGGCTTTGTAACCAGGTCAGTCTATTCTCCACAGATGAAAATAACACTCTAACCAAGCATTATTATCTGGTTTATTTTTTTTTCCTCTCTTCTGTTATGTGATGTATTTGTCAAACTGTAACTGTTATTGTTGCTCTCTCGCTCTCTCTCTCTCTCTCTCTCTCTCTCTCTCTCTCTCTCTCTCCCTCTCACACACACACACACACACACACACACACACACACACACACACACACAAACTTTTTTTTTAACTTAGTATGATGAGGTAAGTTTACGTTCTCTTTTTCATCTACTAGGAATGAGGAAGAGGAGGATCGAAGTGAGAAGGTAGAAAAAGGCACCAAGGTAAAGAGGACTCTCAGCTCATTGAGGAACAGGATGACCGGCTCCTTCAATAAAGATAAGGTAGGCAAGTAATGTGACGCAACCGATTTAACCATTTCCCACAAACAGCAATAATGTTAATGGGTCAATTTAATATGTGGCATATGTATTCATACAAAAGTTTCAGAAAGATGAACAACTGGTTTTAACTTTAAAAATGGGTCAGTTTGACCCGCATCATAACTGGAAAACGTATGAAAATTGTTTATATCTTATGATTATAACTCTATGACTAACTCATTACCTTTCACATATCATGGCTATATATGAAATTGACATTTTTTTTTCCATAAATAAACGTTTGTAAAAAATGTCCGATAACATTGTTTTCTCAGGAACAGTAATCACGATGATGGGTCGGTTTGACCCGCGCCATGTTTAACCATCTAAAAGTGTCAAACCAAAAAAAGAGCGCTCACATTGTTTGTTAACGGAAATGAATCATGTTCATCTTACTTTGTACTGTATGTGACAATTAAAATTGGTCAGTTTGACCCACAACATAACAGGAAAAGATGGAAACCATGATTAACATTACTAACCACTTCAGTCAACATTCAGTGCTTTACCTTTCACAGATCATGGCTCAATGAGGATGAGTTGAAAATACTGACAAATAAATATGTTACTTTTTTTTTTTTTTAACTTTCCTGTTACATTTGTTTCTCATTAAAACCAATCATGTTCCTCCATTAGTTTGACCTGATGTGTGTTTAAAGGGGAAGTCAACCCAATAATTTTCTTTAGACTAATAGGTTCCGTGCAGCTCTTCTAGTCTAAAAACAGCATTCTGATTAATATTGTGTTAGCGGAATATGAGTTAAGCGGTAAAATCCAACCGTTTTTTTTTCCATCTAAGGGGGCGGCCATTTGTCCACTTGCTGTCGACTGAAAATGACATCACTGTTGCTTGGGGCTCAGGTACCAACCAATCATGCCTTAGTTTCAGAAAAGAGGTGACCCCTGATTGGTTGTTCCCTGAGCCGTGAGCAGCTTTGATGTCATTTTCAATTGCAAAATGGCTGCCCTCTGACATGGGTAAAAACGGGTGGATTTTGCTGCTTAAATCATATTCCACGAACACAATATTAATCAGAATGCCGTGTTTAGATTAGTCGGGCGCATAGAATATTTTATGGTAAAGAGAACTTGGGCGTTGACTTCCCCTTTAAGTATCCCAAAGTATCAGAAATGAAAAAGTAAAAAAAAAAAAAATCCCCTTCTTTGTTTGCAAATGTGTAAAAAATAATTTCAACAAATGATTCAGACTAAAAAGCACTTTAACCATTTGACACATGAGACAACAATAGGCATTAATAGCATTACATGGACATAATTGTCAAGTGCAAACAGTTACCTGGCGCTGCACATGTATAGTGCACTAATCTCCTTATGTAAGCTTTGTTGCACATCACGCCTGTGACACACTTTGAATGACGCTAATCAACCACCATTGTGTCCCTGCAGGGTAAGAACCGAGAGAAAGAGCAGCAGAGGGGTAAGGAGAAGGAGAGGGATCCTACGGAGACAGAGTTCAGCCACAACAATGGGCATGTTTTAGCGCTCGGCACTTTTTCCAGCTGCGCCACCTGCTCTCTGTGCGGCAAGACACTGCAAAAGAAACACAGCCTGCAATGCATGAGTGAGTACACAGCAGGTGCGCGCACGCACGCCCTTCACGCTCGTCTCTCTCACGCACACGCCCACGTGAGCACAGGTGCTCGGCTCACATGCAAACGTGTGGCTTTTTATAACCATTCTACTGCTTGTGCACCTGCTCACCAAAACACCGGAGTGAAGAAACAAGCAAACAAGAACCTACACAAGCTTGACCTTCATTACAAGAGCCAATGTCAAAAATTCATTTCTGAGGTTGAAGAGGTTCTTTCTACAATTGGTGGAGCGACACCTTTGTTTTCATTTCCGACCAATGAAAAACACATACCTGTACAGTATGCCCAAATTGTCTGCCTTTTTGTTTTTAGCAGAAAATACAAAGTGGGTTGAATGATTTTTAAAAACAACCTTTTTTTTTTCCACGATTGTGATTTAATACAGTAAGTGATAATTTCTTACCATGTGTTTGTTTTTTGTTTTTTTTTGCTCCAAGAAATTACTCAGTATCAAAACAAACAAGATTAGAGTTGGGTGACCCGGTGGTCCAGGGGTTAGCGAGTTGACCTCACAGTGCAGAGGTACCGGGTTTGATTCTAGCTGTGGCCTCCCTGTGTGGAGTTTGCTTGTTCTCCCCGTGCCCACGTGGGTTTTCTCCGGCTACAGTACTCCGGTTTGCTCCCACATTCCAAAAACATGCATGGCAGGCTGATTGAACACTCCAAATTGTCCGTAGGTGTGAGTGTGAGCGCGGATAGTTGTTCGTCTCTGTGTGCCCTGTGATTGGTTGGCAACCGGTTCAGGGTGTCCCCTGCCTACTGCCCGAAGACGGCTGGGGTAGGCTCCAGCACCCCCCGCGACCCTTGCGAGGATAAAGCGGATTCGAGTTATCATTAGCAGCACACTCAAGCAATACACCTTCAACGATATAGTCTATCAGTTTATTGTTCATCGAGGATTTTTGTTTGGGGAAAAATTACACTCAATTGTGATTTAATCTAGCGATGTACTAGATTACATGTGAAAATCCATATGTGGGACATATTCGAAGCATAATTTCTTCAATTATAAGTGTGCGTTACAGTGGTGTAAATTTGCACCGCATCATATTAATAGCTTATTTCCTTTCCCTTATTTACCCCTCATTTATCTTAACTAATTTTTAAGGACCACCACAATAAGGACCACATTGTAAAAGGAATACATCTCTGAGAGTGTCAATCAAAATGGAGCATTATACGCTTTGGAAAGGCAGAATTCTCAGAGTTGACACTCCTGAAAGTGCAGTAAAAACAACGTAAACCATTGAGTCATATTATTTGGCATTGATCTCGGGGCAGGTGATTACAGATCATTCCTCTCCCGTCATACTTAGGTTGGCTTTGCCTAATGTTCTGGAAACAAACCCACTGTTGCTGCTTAGTGTCTTTCCTCCCCGATTTGAAAAGTGTTTCCAAGAACATCATCTGCAATGCTGCATCTGTATTTTGTTTCACTGCTTTGCATTGCACAACCCTTCTTTCTGCTCGGGCGGGTCGCCTCATCCATCAGCACCGTATTCCGACAGCTGTTTACCCAAATCCTACCGCGCGCATTCACTTTATACTTCCAGATTGTTCATATTTCTCTGGGGCGTTGTGTGAGCTAAAGTAGGCCTGTGTTGTGTTCAATCAGTCACAATAAGCGGACGACCATTATGTACTTCCTTGCTGCTGTCATTCTTGCGGCTGATTAGTCGCAATGTCGATTGAAAGAAGTGTGTAACTAATAGAGGGCGTACATGCCCTTGATGAAAGCTGTGGAACTATGATCTAAGTCTGTTTTGCGTCGTTGTTATTAGCAACCCACATCAACACGGTTGGTCAGATTCTCTTTCCTGGTAACTTCAGGTTTCTGTTTGCTGCTTGGCAGAGGTCATCGGGCTCAATCATAACTCTGTCCAGGGTCGATGAAGGACGTTGTTGCGTGCTAGTCACGCCCACTGACTTACAGTGAGGTGTATGTGGTGGATTTTTTTTCCCGAAACGTCATCTGTAAAATCCATATTGAGCAAGCTTTTATCGGTCAAACTTCAGGACAAAAAAATTAAAATAGCCGCCAAAAGCTGATGTGCTACAAAAAAGAAAGAACCATTATTTTTAAATCCGCATCAAAAATACATTTGCAAACCATAAAGCCATCTCTTATTAAAATTAGCTGTTGATCAGTATTTTTTTTCTCCTGAGGGGAAATGAAGGTAACGTCAAACAAAGCTGTGAGTTTATCCACTTTGTCAAAGCAGATTTTATATTCAACCTCAATATACTGAACAGCAATTAATGAAGTCGCTGGTGAGTGCAGTTTATTTTTAGTCTATTTTAAAAGTATCAACAAAAGTGGCTCTAACTAATTCTCTCCCTTCTCTTAATTAGGGTAAGACAATAATACTAACATCTATAAATAATGCAGTCTGGAAGCATGGGCGTGTAATGTATGATTGTTTTAATTGTGTGCTTATTCAACAAACGTGTTCTGGTATGTGTCGTGTAATGTAGTGCACGGCGCCAGATACTGCATGATTCAAGCTTTCTTTGTTTGACACAAACCAGTAACTTTCTTATAATATATGGGCTACAGTCTTCTTCTTTGATAGTGGCTTCTCTGTTAGATAGGGCTGGGTGTTTTGGCCTTAATATCACAAATCTAATACTTTCCCACAGAAATTGAATTTCGGATTTGACTCAGGCTAAATACAGTGACCAAATTGCAGAGTTGGAAACACTGATACTTCTTTTATGAACATTATGAACATTGTTTTTCACAATTTGAAATCATGAGACCAGGACCATAAGAACTGATCAACAATAGATTGCCGTCAGGAACAGTGTTCTGATAATTTAGCATTAATTCGGTCCTCGGTGAATATTGTCTAGAGCACAGTTGTCAAACTCAAGGCCCAGGGGCCAGATCTGGCCCGCCACATCATTTTTTGTGGCCCGCGAAAGCAAATCAAGCATGTCAACTTCCACGATGCTTGCTAAAATCTCTACCAACATTTAAAATTCTCATATGTAATAAATAAGAGACATATTGTCAGCATTTTCTTGTTACCAAACCCCTCATTACAGTAACTTAAATAATAGTTGAATAAACCGTTACTATTGACTTTTTTGTATGGGTTCAGTCATAACGGCCCTCCAAGGGAAACCGTAACTAAAATGTGGCCCACGACAAAAATGAGTTTGACACCCCTGGTCTAGAGGGATACAAGATAATAATAAATCATTTTAAAATGGCCCTTCCATGCTTCCTGCAGACCCCCCAAAAAAAGTTGGGACATATCAAGAGTTCTAAGTCCCATGATGGCTGCAACGACCATGCCTCAGCAGATAAATGGAAACTATGGAAGCCGGATTAAGTTAAAAATATGTATATATATACTGTATACCATGGCTTTAAGAGGTTAACAAATCTATCAGATCAATCAATTGCCTAACCCTATTTGCAGATGTAATTGCAATTATTGTTTTTGGCTTTGGTACTTGTGAGAAAACAACCAAGTGCAGTGCCCCTTTAACTGGATCCAAGTGGTGGTGTGGGGATTGAGCCTGTGGAATGCGCCGTTTGTATGACACAGATTGTTCCCACTGGAGAAAGCGGCTAACTAAAGTGGACCATAACAAAACAAAACAAAAACAAAAACAGGATAATCTGTGCCGTTCATCCATCCATGTCAATGATGTGATTATCCAACCGAGCCGCCGCTGCCGCTGTTGTTGTTTCAGTCGTTACCATCCGAACCGGAGCGGAGACTTGGTGTTAATAACGGTAAGAAGCAGCTCCTGTAGCGGGGTCAGGTGGATCATTCTCGTTGGTTCCTTCAGTGGATTTTTTTCAAGCACATTAGTTAGCCACTTATCGTAGTGCGATATATTGCTTCCTTTGTGTCTTCAGTGTGTTTCTATGGACTGGACGAACTAGCGTGTATTTACTTACTCAATGGAAACAACAGTGAGTCGTCTATTGGGCAGTATGGCTAGCTAACAATAGCCTCTCGTTGCTTGCGAGATAACTTCGCCAAAACTGCTTCCCATTGTAAAGCAAGTGTAGTTCACTTGAAATAGCTCACATTCTCCACATCCTCATAAACACGGTGATGTTGCTGCTTTTTCAAATTCAACCCTCAACGTCGCTTTGGTGTACGTTCGTGTTCGCTATTGCCAGTTTTGTTAGCCGCTGTTGGTGGTAGCCTCGAGGCTCAACAGGTGATTGTTAACGTTAGCTCAGAGATTATTATTGTATTAAATATGTATGAGATATTTGCTTTGTCAGAGGATTTGATGCAATGGCTGACATTGTTTATTGGGTTTACAAAAATGTGACAGTGTCTGTATGTGATCTATTAAATTATGATTCATGATTGGCGGCGGTATTGAAAGAGCATTTATTTATTCTCCGTCACGATAACTGTACTTCGCTGGCAGAGATAGCTGAATAAAGATAAGTTATTATTTGTAGTAATGAAACAATAATTGTAATTATTTTAATAGATCTATTCAGTTAAATAAATTGCGTAATCCCCCCTAACACACCCACCCACACACACCCACCTGTTCCTTTTCGACTCACTATTTGTGAATCACGGAGATGGAGGATAAACGTAACATTCGCTTTACGTTCTTCCGTAACTTGTCTCCATCTTTGCCTGGTCCATGTTGTGCCACTGTAGGAAGAAATTTCAGATTGAAAATGTAATTGGGGATTATTGGACCACATAATTTTTGACGTGTTTTCTGATGTGTCAAAATTCTTAACATTCCTCAGACGGAGCAGGTGATGCCCTTACACTCCTCCAGTGCCCCACGCTGAAATGAAATGGGGGGGGGGGGCATTTTTATTCGCAGTTGTTTTACCTATGAGTGGATGATGATCTAATTTGTCAGAACCATGCATTTAGTGATGGTACATAAATCAACCATCTGAGGCGTACTTTCTGCTTCCCATAGGACATAATAGAAAGGGAAATACTATGTTCTCTTGCCTAGATATTAAAACAGATTAATATCATAACATCACTCTGGTATTATAGTGTGTATGTATAATAAAGATACATATGCCGACGCCAGGACAGAAGGATATTTTTTGGTTGTAGCTCTCGGCTTGAATCTATTCGTGATCTCCTTCCTTTACATTTATTTTATTCAATCCACGTAGAGACAAAAAAATGTTCACCTGAACATATGAAAGAAAGCCGAATCTTTCAGGTGTCCTGATCATCGTGCTAAATTTTTTTCTGAAGAACCAATCCATTATCTTGAGTATTGCCGAGCCCACATTTGCCAGTAAAGATAACACATTGTGAAACCTTTTTTCCCTTGTCTTTCTCAGTTTGTAAAACAGTGTAATGTAAGGGCTTTGAATTAGTTGAGCTTGTTGCTTTTAAGGTCTGCGACAACAGCTGATTTGTGACTGAAAGTGGAACAAACTGCTCAATATTCATGGCACTGTATTTATAATATTACAAATGTATTCTAGTCTTGTAATTTGATACTACTTTGTGGATGGAGCAGTCAGCCATGTGATGTCTGCTTTGTTTCTTATATTCTAAAGTGACCGAGTTAGTTTTTAAATGTTTGTTCTTTGCCAGCTCTGCTTCCTACGGGAGGCATCTCGAAGCATGTGATTGCCAGACTTTGAGGTGGTCTGAGTGCTGATAAGAGCTGTGATATCAGCAAATAGAAAAACACCCTGTCCTGGCTTATCTTTAGCTAATCGTTTACCTCTACCATGAAGAATTCTTGTCATTACAGTTTGTGTGCCATCGTCTCTGTTTCCTGAAAGGATTTAGCTTGCGCTTGGGCTCTTCACTGATGACGCTTAAATGAATGTCTCAATATTTTGTGAAGATCTGCTTACCTGTCAAGGTCTTCTCTTTTTCAAATTCCCCCGCCACCCCCCCGCCCCCACCCAAAAAAAAAAAGACTAGCCTTTGCTATTATAGACTCATGAGCCTCATCGGTGTTTGAGCCCTTTTTAAGGTAAGGCTGCTTGCTACAGTGGACTGAAAAACGTTTTTTTTTTGTTGTTGTTTTGTTTTTTTATTACAAATTTTTTTATAGACCTTCACCTTCGTAAGATTGATAAATACTTTGAATCCAGCTGCTTTTGGATTACAAAAAAATATACATATATTTATAAAAAGAAAATCTCTGACGTCTGAATCTGATGCAAAGCAGTACAGTCTAAATTCTGCTGTTCATATTAGTCTTGCTGTTTCTACTGAACTGTATTAATGATTTTTATTTTTGGCGCTTCTGGAAGTGTGCCGGTTGAGTAATGCTGAACCAATTTACGGTTTAAAAATTATTATTATTATTTTTTTTAAACAAGGGTAATTTCTCTGTTTCTGAGGCTTATTCTGAAGCCACCTTCTGTTGACTTTTCATTTCGCTTCGCCAGAAAGTTCATAAGGTATTAGAAGAGTGGACGGGACTTCAGTGGGTGGATTTGGACAAACTAGAAGGACTATGTGTGGTCTGAAGCTAAAAATGTCAATGAACATGGTCCAGTATTTGCTGCTGTCACTGCATGCTTTCCTTTGTAATTTGTGGTACACAGAAGAGAAATGAGCTACACATTGTACAGAAGTCTTTCTGATGATCTCTTGGTGGAAGTTGCTAGTACTGTATTACATTGTGCTGTTGACAGGGATGCTGCCTTTGACACAGCAATGCAACCGCATTTAAACAATGTGACGCTTCTGCCTCAGGCTTTTTTCCTCTACTGGATGTGCCCTGAATGATGTAAACGAGACTGTCACGGACAGTGTTGATTTCCCACCTTCCCCTTTGCCAATGGGGGTGGATGGGGTTTGCAGCTTTTGCTTGTTTGAATTATGAACCGCTTCCTGTCTGCAATATTGAATATGTCAAACTGAATTTGAATGGAAAAATAGGTATTCTAGAAGACATGGTGGTTAGATTGCAGCTGTTCACGGGTTGATTGTGTACTTTAAGATGCTTTCTTGCGAGTGATAGTGACTCATTTCATGATGTTAACACGCTTCCTGTGAGTGGTACACTACAACAGCCTGTGACAGGTTGTACACTCACCTGAAGTCAGCTGGACTGTGACCCATGAACCTAATGAAGGCACGTGCAATACAAAAAGGGCGGATATCTTAGCTTTTATTCAACACGTCGCCACTTCCAATGGCCCTGCCAAGTAGCACTATTGCTTTGTCTTGTTGTAGCCTGTGTGTTTTATTTGTCTACTTTTCCTGTTATGTTTGTATGGATGAAAATTTTTAAAAACTGCACTCATCTCGGTTGGATTTTAACAGTATACATGATTCCAATTTCAGGAAAAAAAACATTTATGAATTTCAAGTGTTTTAATTTCAATTAAATATAACTGTAAAATAACTTTGGATTTCCTTCATCTGATGATAAAACAGTACTATACAATAAAGTCTAAACTAATATACACTATTGGATCCTATTTTTCAGATTGTGCTGTGAATGTTCACAGGAGCTGTAAGTCTCTGCTGGGTGAGTGCACCAGCACCAAGAACAAGGTAAACACTCCACTGGAACGTGGAGAAACAGTGCTGACACACACTGTCACGGTCGCACTTATAATCTTGAATGGTCTTTGTACAGGAACGCTTGTGTGCTTTCTTGAGAAAAAAAAAAACAAATCCCCAAAGTAATCTTTTTAATAGCTGATAAGTGTTTGATCAAATGGCCTTAAAAATAGCATAGTGTGTCTTTCTATTCTCAGAGAGATTCTTTATCGAGGACAGGCCCATCTGGATCCCCCAGTCTTGGTAAGTATAATTCAATGTATTTTCAAAGCTCGGTGTGCCTCTTCCTGATGGGTTGTGGAATAGATAGAGAATGACAGACGACTTTAGGCTTTCTCTTCTTACTCCACCGTTCTCCCCGTTGTCTCAATTGTGTGTTGCCCTCAGCACTAAAAGACCGCCACAGAGACCAGGAACAGTCAGGGGCAGCCTCATCACAAACCTTGAATGGCCACGCAATATTTGACGGCCCCCCTGGCATGACCATCATTCCTCGGGGACCAAGTAACCAACCGACTGCAACAAATAACATCACCACTCCAGGAGCTCCTGCTTTATACCTCGGCCACAGCCCACGCCACCACAGCAGCTCAGGGTCAGTGCCCCAGTCTTGCATCACTTATTCATTTTGTCTTGTTTGCTTTTGATTGCCTCTCACATGAAGGACTTGAGCATTAATTGAAGATGAAGTGTTCCCACGCTAATTTACAGCATTTGCTTTATTACTGGCTCACAAGTGTTTAAAAGCGTACATACACACACACACACACACATATACATAAAATATACTTTTTTAAATTAATTAATTATTTTTTTTTTTACACCAGATCTCTCCCCGGAGAGATGGATGAAACCGACGCTCTTCGCTTCAAGCGCTGCAATGAAGACACCATTTCCCTCGTTCCCTCCACTACCGAGTCTATAATCGTGGAAGGTAAATTGACTTGATTGGTTGATTGATTTTAATTTGTGGAATTGTTTTGTTGTTCATCCACCTTTTTCAAAGCAGAGTTTTTGTTGTTGCTTCTCAAATGTAGGGACGGGTCTGTTTTATGAAGCCAATGGTGGCTTCCACACCATACTCACAAAACTACGCCGATGGGAATAGTCAGTATGAGGGTGGACTCGGACAGTTTCATTGGTCGACTGTGACATTATTAGTAATTTCACTTTTCAGATGTGGTGGTGAGGCGATCTGTAAATCTGCTGGCGGCATGAAACTCATCAGTAAAAATTCATAAAACTGCATCACATTAAAACCCGAACGGTTGCTGCGATTTTTGGGTGGCCAAATATCGCTGTGGTCTGGCTCAACAGCTTTGGTGTGCTTCTCGTAATATTTTTTTCCTCAGAGTAATCCAAACGTATCTTATTTGAGTGTTTTATTTTTCTCTCTCTTTTGGATTATTATTCATCTTGCAACTGCTTGCAAATTCATCTCACCTCTGTAATCGCCAGATGCCAGCATAGTTGAGGTGACATTCACTATTATACAGTCGAAAATCTGTAACTTGGTTTGCTCCTTTTCTCAGATGCTCACTATGCTGCAGTGCGAGCTGATCTAGAGTGTGATGCTCAGGACCTGGAAGCAGAGTCTTGGAGTTTGGCCGTTGACCAGCAGTTTGTTAAGAGACACTCTAAAGAGGCCATGAAGAGGCAGGATGCCACATATGGTTCGTGCATTTGTATAGATGCTCTTTGTTTAACGTTGCCTTTTAAACCAAACAAAACATATTACTATTAGACCATAGCAATAACAATGTAGGCTTCTGGATATACTCTAAACTTGAAACTCAATTTAGACTAGTACCAGTTTTGCAAATCAATATTTTTCATTGTCATGTTTGTCCCTGTGATTTGGCCTGTCTGTAAACAATACAAACTGTTGTATTGGCGCACGTCAAAGTCTGATAACATTTAAAAACAAACAGAAAACTTGGACTGAGATTGTAATATGTCACCTTATGTACAACAGAACTGATGCAGACGGAAATGCACCACGTGAGGACACTGAAGATAATGCTTCATGTGTACGTGAGAGAGTTGAAGGAGAACCTCCAGATGGATTCAAGCAGAGTGGAATGTCTTTTCCCGCGCTTGGAAAACCTCCTGGAGCTCCACATGCATTTCTTGTCCTCTCTTAAAGAACGCAGGCGAGAAAGCACTGTTATGCCCACCGAGGGCAACTACACGGTGGACAGAATAGCAGACATACTAATTGCGCAGGTAAGGAAAGGGCATGTACAAGTCTGAAATTTTTTTGTTTGTTTTTTTTGGGGGGGTTGTATTTTTATTTTCGGACGTATCTATGCAGTTTTCAGGTGATGTCGGCGAGAAGATGAAGGAGAGCTATGGTGATTTCTGCAGTCACCACACTGAGGCTGTCAGCTACTACAAAGAGCAGATGCAAACAAACAAAAGATTCCACAGCATCATACGGGTGAGAGAACCAAGCAAGCCTGTGATCTTTACACCGACTCGTCTTTGTTCAACTTTGTAGTTTGAGTCTTGTCTTTTGTCCTTGCAGAAAATCAACAACCTGTCCATTGTGCGAAGGTTAGGAGTGCCTGAGTGTATGCTGTTGGTAACACAGCGCATTACCAAGTACCCAGCTCTTGTCGAGCGCATCCTACACAGCACCGAAGGTCTTGTTACGTTCATTTTGTACTGTACATTTATTGAAGAAAAAACTCCCGTGTTTATTTGAATCTTTGTTATTCCCCTTAGAGGGTACCGATGAGCACACAGAGCTGAACCGTGCGCTAGCCTTGATTAAAGACACTATTGTTCAAGTGGACTCATTGGTTAATCTGCACGAGAAGACATGTCGCCTTCGTGACATCCACAACAAGATGGAGCCAAAGGCCCTGGGCAAAATCGAAGATGGCCGAGTGTTTCGCCGAGAAGACTTAGCGCAGGGTCGCAGACGTCTCCTGCACGAGGGCACCGTCAACTGGAAAGCTGCCTCTGGCAGACTCAAAGGTAGGGTTGCGGCAAAATAAACGGATGTTTATTTCTCAACTCACTTTTGAAGAAATTATCTTGGTGTTATTTGGTCCTCACAGATATTCTTGCAGTTCTCCTTTCTGATGTGTTACTCCTGCTACAAGAGAAGGATCAGCGATATGTATTTGCAGCAGTGGTGAGGAATTCATCGTTTTCTTTATGCACCTCAACTACCAGTACATACATAATTAAGTTGCATGATCATTTAGGGCCCTTTTAGGAAAGTGTAACACGTGTGAGGTTAATGCATTCCTTTAATTTCCCTCACAATATCAGTTAAGCATATTTGTAGCATTTCTCTCCGTTGTGACCATTGTAAAAGCCTTCTAGGAGATTGAGGTGAAGACCGCTGTAGCCTGATTCATTCTTGTGTCTTATTTTTACCCCTGTAGGACAACAAGCCATCAGTCATCTATCTTCAGAAGCTGATTGTTAGGGAGGTGGCACATGCTGAGAGAGCCATGTTTCTGATCTGCGCGTCCTCCAATGAGCCGGAGATGTACGAGATCCACACGACCTCTAAAGAAGAAAGAAACACTTGGATGACCCAAATCCGGCAAGCTGTTGAGAGGTAGCTGTGATACAATACGTTGTTGAAAAGGAATTGTCATAGTACAGTAATTGATGGCTTCTGTCCTATCGATGTTAGCTGTCCTCATACAGAGGAGAGGCTGTTCAGTGAAGAGGAAGAAGCTCGAGCTTCCAGGTTCAAAGAATTTCAAGGTACTGACATTTAATTAACTCCTATGAGTCCTAGCAAATTCACAGTTCGGCATTCATGAAATTGCTGCTTCGTTTTTTTTTTTGGGGGGGGGAGGGGGGTTGTCATATATCGTATATTAGTTTTTGTGGTCAGGAGGCTAGTGCGTGTCAAATATTAAAAAAAATAAATAAATAAATCTTGCTTTGGCATCATTTTGTGGCATCCAAATGCCAAGGAACTATGTTGAAGTGAGGGGACTAGCTTCATTTTGTCTGGTCATATGAAAAAAAAAATGCTTGTTATCTCTGGCCCGATGCAAACCTTTTTGGCTGAGCATCACTGCGACTCTCCTTAACCTTTGCGAATAATTAGGGTCCACAGTAATGCCTTAAACAGGCCTGGACAATGAAATGTAGTTTTACCAAACAATGAGCGAGTGTCCAGAAGTTTATTTTTTATATTTTATATGTATTTTTTCGTACAGGCTATATGAAAGACAATAGAAATGTATAGTAAAATGCCAAATGATGAGCTGTCTCGCAGAAAGTACAATTTGCAAGAGAATCATGTGTCGCAGTAATGGACAATTGTCATAATGATGTCTATTTCCCACTGTAGAACGTCTGAGCCAGAAGGATGCAGTGATTGTCCAGGCGCTCTCTGAGAAGCTGCAACTTTTTGCAGACATGGCAGAGTCTGTGGCAGGTCTGGAGGACACAGCTTCCCGCTCCAAGCTTCTTTTACGGGGTGATGCCTCAGATCTCCAGCAGGGGGAAGCCTTGCTTAAAGGAGCCATCACTGAGGGTAGGACAGGGTTGCCGGAGATAACATGACATTGAATCAATGACACGGACACTTTTAAACTCCATTCACTGAACGGGTTTTTTTTTTTTTTCAGTGGAAAACCTTCAGAATTTGCTCCAGTCTGGAGTGCGGCGTGAAGTCTTATCACATCAAAATGAAGGGAGCAGCTCTGGACTCCTGCCCAGGAGAGCAGACACTTTTGGTGGCTATGACAGCAGCCCCACCATCCTCACTAAGAGTGAGTCTAGTATACTTAATGTCCTGAGGAAACCTCCTACCTAATGGGTTGTACTGTTGTGCACTTTGTGCAATGAATAACTTGTGAATTATTCATAACATGTTATTTTCTCCCTAAAAGACACACTTTTGCTGTTTTGAAAATATTTCTGGCCAAGTTAAGAAACAAAATATTCACAATTGTAGTATGACACGTATTCCTTTGTCATCTTGATGCTCATTTTGTGGTAGTTAATTGATCTGTTTTCTGGTCCTTTTGGTCTCACTGTTATTTTTGTGTCATTGTTTGTGTCTGTGGCTGGGTGTTGCTCTGCCAGATGGCAACATGAAGAAGAACTTTTCTGGCGAATCCAGAAACAGAGACCGGAGCCAGCGGGCCAGCTCTGACCCTCAGCTCAAAGATCTCTGTGGCAGCCAAACTCTGGAGCAGACGGTTGGTCTGACGCACAAAAAGTCACATACGCTTTGACTTCAAGCACAACCCAAAATCACACAGGGCGACAAACTTGCGCTGATTTATTTCCTTTATGAACAAACAGGCGTCAAAGATTTCTCATCACAGACGCATAAACAAAAGCCATCATTGGCAAAACATGTAATTGATACACATGTAAACATTGCATGTTCACATAAATAAATAGTCTTTGAGGATGACCAGTTGTATAAAACAGATGGCAGTTGTCACTGTGCACCCAAGTCAATTCTTGGGATTGCCACTAGATTCGTTTCAGAAGAATTTAAGCTCCACTGTTTGGTTGTAGCACAAAAGGAAAAAAACTAACCTGTGTTTTCTGGCTAATGTTGACCAGGTTGATGAGAGCTGCTGCACACCAACGAAATGGAACAGGATCTGGTCCAACTCATTCCCCGAGGCAGAGGTCTGTGCCTCTTCTTTGAATCTGTTAGTTGCTCACATTTAGCATTGTAGGATTGGAAAGATATACGACTGTAAATGCACCTGTGCTATGTTATTGTGATTGTACATGTCTGATTTTAATGTTCTTCTCTTTTTTTCCATTCCAGTTCTTTGACAAACTATTAATGCTTTCTCAAAGGCTCTACAGTCTTCAGGTAACACGATGCCTCGGTGGCTCACAATGATTTGTTTATATTTGCACACTGCCTTTACAGAGTCAGATATCTACTAATGAAATGGTGTATACACCGGCGAAACGCATGAAGAATCAAATGAAATCCAATACTCAGACACTGAAATTGATCCATGTTTAATTTTGTAATTGCACTTAATAGTGTGTAGAACTGCTTCGCAGCATATCAGAAACACCTCTGTGTAATGCCGTTCAGTTCTTCACATCTACACCTTACACCCACTCTATTAAACCTATTGTTAAACTAATTCTTCTCTGATAGTGTCCTTATCATCTTGTGAAGGCAAACTTACACGCAACACTTGTTCCTTAGAGCACAGTGAATATAATGTTCATAACATTCTAGGCTCTGAATGGTTGTAGCATTTCTGTTGTGAGTGTTTTATGGGAGGAAAGTATCAATTGTCTTCTCTCTGCATGGTCAGGCCATCATATCTCAGCAGGACAGCCACATTGAGCTGCAGCGTGTCTCGCTGACAGAGCGCGCCTCTCTGCCTGGGCGCCACCGCGGGAACGTGCTGCTAGAGCAGGAGAAGCAGCGCACGCTGGCCCTGCAGAGAGAGGAGCTCGCCAGCTTCCACAAACTGCAGTCTCAGCATCGCCAGGAACAGCAGCGCTGGGAGAAGGAGCGAGGGAAGCACCGCCAACAAGTGGAGGCCACAGAGGCAAGGCTGCGGCAAAGGGAGGAGGAATGCAGGCGGCTGGAGGTAAAGTGGTCGGACCTACCTGACAGTTGGAATGGTGTTGTGTCTTGGACACTAACCATAAAAAAATTGGATACAGGAGCGACTGGCAGAAGAGAGGGTGGAGTTGGAGAGGCAAAGGGAGACGTACCAACAAGACCTGGAGAGACTCAGGGAGTCCACTCGCGCAGTCGAGAAAGAGAAGGAACGCCTAGAACACCAGAAGAAGATCAAGAGGAAAACCATTGAGGTGCAAACAGGCCTTCATTAAAGACTAGCTTTGACTTGTTAGCAGTGGCTGAATTTAGAAATAAAATGTTGAGAATTGATCAAAGTCATACTGTCGAAATCACGAAACCTTTATCAAACACTGTTATTAGCACAACGTTGAAAACCTTGAAAACACTGAAGTCCAAATTTCAATTACATATGCGTAATGTCACATTGCGTGCTCTTCAAAGATCCCCCTTTTTAACATTTTTAACTGTCACACAAGTGGGAAATAATGGTTAACTGCTTGTAATAGTAAATGCAATAGAACATTCAACTTTACCTTTAACAACCACATTTATGGTAAAGCTAGAGCCTAAGATCCACCGCATGTGACTGGACTAGACAATCACAAACAAATGAAATTGGATGACTCGCACCCAATTGACCCTCACACACATACGAATGCGTTGGAAAAACTGTGACCCCTGGTGTTCATATTAGATGTGGAGACAGCCACAGTACTACATTATTTTATTTATGAACCACAAACAATGTTGTGAGATTGTCCAGGGAGAAATGGATTGCCCTGGCCCTTACAGTTATACAAAAAGAGGAAGTGGGCGAGAAATATAGGAGTGTGACTTTTTGAGGAGCCGTTGGCAAGGATTGCCCCATTCATTGATTGCGCTTGTGCATCTCAGCAATTGATCAACACGCCTTAATTTTTAGTCACAGCTACAAATGATAAATATGGTTAATATTTTTGTAAAACTATTTATACTGCGGCAGTAAGGCTTTGTGGCAGTGAGCTGGGTCCCGCTTGGTACCTGGAAACAATTTTTGTTGGGAAAGCTCATGGAATATGACATCGTATATTTGATCTGCCAGTACATTTGTGACATTACAAAGCCGTTCATCTCAGATTAAAAATTTGAATTGCCACGAATCAAGTTGCAGAACACCATTTATTTTGATGTCTAAATTTAACTGTTGTGGCATAACAGCAGCTCCTATTTTCATAACCTTGCTGCTGTAAATTGGGAATTTCTCCATTGTGAGATGAATAAAGGTTTTCTGATTCTTATTCTTAAATCAGTTGCGCTTATTCGTCTGGCAATGATGGTAACGATGAAGGAAAACATAATGCGCTGGACACCAGCAGGTTGATGGCGATAGTTACGTGCTCGTACACTTAAGTCATTGTCTCTAATAATTGTAAATTCTTCTTGCGTTAACATATACAGACTTATTAAAAATCAAAGTCTTGAAGGAAATTCCACAAAAAATCCTGCTAGTTTTTGTGTAAAAGTTGTTTTTTCTCTTCCCGCATCTTCGTGTGTGTAATCACACACACACCCACACTTTTCTAACCACCTCATCAGTAAAGATGGTAATCTACCTATTTAGCGCAGATCTCTTTCCATTCTTCTTCCTGACATCTTTCTCCATCGTCTCGATGTTTCCATGCTTCCATCCCTCTTTCCCTTCTTGCACAACAATGTGAGACGTTGTGAGTTTCATGGAAAGCTATGACCACTTTGCTGTATTTCATGCCCGGTGCCAACAGCTCTGGCGAGGAGCTCGAAAAAAAAGTGATTCAATGTCAACGTTCCTGTACTTTGAACAACACTTAACGATCACTCTTTTTAATCCCATTACGATGAAGGGTTGCACTTGAAAAACCTCTTCCCAAGAAAAGTATGGCATGTGATCGTGAGAAGGAGTGGATTGGATAGTTGTCCTGGATTGGATGGACCTGTGATGAGTCAGCAACCTTGTAATTACAAGCCTCGACTTTTGACTGTAACAGCCATGCACACAAAAGTGCTATTTGTTTGTTTGTGAGATTGTACTGCAAGATGAGACCTGAAGCCAGAGCGATACATGGCCGTGTCAGCACTTGGCGCCCACTGACATCATCCCCGTGCTATTTGTTTTCATTCTGCCCGTTTGTTCTGTTTTGTACACACGCAGATCAGGGTTTACTGTATATTGTTGGCTGTGCCGTGGGACTTTCTTGGCTGCGTTAATGGGAAATTTGGAAGTGGTTTGTCTCCCCCCCTCCCGACACACCCTTGTTTCATCAAAAACACATTAAACAGCCTTTTCATCGGCTGCGACCCTGGCTTGCGTTCCAGGCTCCAGGCCAGCCTGATATCAGCAGCCCTTTAATGCCTACCACAAACATTAGGAGTCATCAGCAAGCCGTAGTGCTATAATTAGACCTCGTTTAAGAAAAAAAAAAAAGACACACCTCTGTGTGATTGTATCCCTCTGAAGTTGAACGTATGTTGGAGTGAGAGGGAGGATGGAGCGAGTCGCAGCATGTGAGGACTTCAGAGGAACTTTCATGTGTTATCTCATCTGATCAGGGTTGGCCCTTTTGATTAGGAAGGCCTTGAATTCTTCCATTGACTCATACTCAGCACGAATAGATTGCACAATATCACTGTTACGACGCCGCGTGAGCCTGAAAACTTTACATGGCAGCTCATATAACCGTGCAGTTGAAATACTTTGTAACCCAAGGGTACATGCACAACAACAACCAAATGGCCTCGTGAAAAGTATTTGCTTGCCTTTTTCAAAAGGTTCAAATCCATCATGATCACCGTTCAGTCCTGCAAAAAACACAGAGAACAATCATTAATAATAAGCGCCATGTCAGGCCAGTACAATATGTTAGCCCAGTAATCTCTACATCAGGAGTGGCCAACCTTTTTTGACCAAAGATGTACTTTTCAAGCAACCAACCTCCCGCGATTGACCTGTTACTGCACGTGCACGCACGCGCGCTAGCATTCGCACATGCGCATACACGCATGCCATGATGAGCAACAGCCATAATGGCCCCTAACATGAACAAAACAAAAAAATAAAGTAGTTTGTGAAAAAGAAATCAGTGCCTACTTTAGTAGAGACCTGACGCGGAGGCGTGGGACGCACTTTTGCAGCGTGTTAGGTGCAGAAACTTGTTGCGTACCGTTTTAAAATGCTTCTCCTGGCGCTCCAGATTCCTCTTCTTTGCCAGTGACATTAGTGAATTGTCCATGAAACAAACTTTGAATGAAAATAATAACAATTAAAAAAAAGATACATTGCGACCGCTCTGATCGCAAGCTCCAATTGCAGACTGCTGACCGCTAATAATTTCAGGTGATGCAGATCATGCGCCACCATAGGTTCAAGGTGACCTGCTTTTATTTTATTTTTTAAATACTGAAAATGAAACTGATATGATGCTAAGGGTGCAGTGTGCACTAACACAAAATATATATAATGACACACATACAGACACACAAATCTTTTTTTTTTCCCCTTACGCCCCTCAAGATCAACTTTCGACCAGTTCGCTGGCTACCGGTCGATCACGATCGATGTATTCGGCACCCCTGCTCTACATTCACCGATTGCTTGCCGTTCCTGGACAGAACCATCTTTCCAACACTTTTAACATGTAGTATGTGTGATATGGGGTTGTAGGCTTTGGTGGATAATGGGAGTCTTCTGGGCACAAAAGCAATATAATAAATAGACATTTTGCTGGAGAAGTTGGACAAACCATTTGTGCTCCTGCAGTGCTGTGTTCCACCTTTTTTTTCTATTAAGTAGAATTAACTTCAATGGTAAAGTGGTCAAATTAGCTTCTGTTTAAAACACGACCATACTACAAGGTCCCTTGTTAAACAATGACCTGTATCTTTGTTTTCTACACTTTGAGTTCTCATTTCAACCTTGCGCACCTGTTGTCCCCAGGCTGTTGTGTGATGTTACTTGAGTGTGTATCATGTAGGCTGAACAAGCCCCGTGAGTAATATTACCACCTCCACCTACATACCTATGACTACTTTCTTCAACAATCAGCCGGAAGCAGTTTGTGTGCAAATTCTGACAAAGCACTTTGGTGGTCGTAATGAATAGTTAAAGATATAATTGAATCCAAGCAGGTCTAGTTTAGTTTTGCAGTGGTGAGAAGTAAAAGAATGAGAACTATTTGTAGTCATTTGCTCCTCCCTCGTAGCTACACAAAAGACCCAAAATGTTGACTATATCACTATATTAACTACAACAACAGTAATATAAATAATAAAACATAATAAGCTTCTTCCACATTGAGATTCGGCACAATTGGCGGATCAGAGCCGTAGCAGAAGTTCCGGCATGTATCTGTACCTCTTACAGAAGTTTCAAAGATATTGCCTCAACAGTGTACAGTTTCACACAGCAATGCAACTCCTGCAATCTGATTAGATGCGTGAAGATAACAGTGTCAGCGACAGCCACAGGGGAGAAGTGTAAAATAATTGTTAGGTAGAGACAATTGCGTTACACTACAAAGTAGGAGAAGTCAGTTTTGGGTGTGAGAAATTCCGGTCCCACCATGGCATGATGGGACATCACAATGGCTGTTACATGACTGTTACTACCTCCACAGCCAGAAAATGTCAGTGCCCCATACTGTGTCATGGCCTTTCATACAGAACAGCAACACAGGAAAAAAAAAAAAAAAAAGAAAAATTATGGATTTTACATTCAGATATTTCCATACAGCTCTTGTATGGAAATTGATGCGAGAGCAAACAAATTAGCCTCTATTTTTTTTACCCTCTGGGCTGCATCGTTGATGAACGTCATACGTAAGCACTCGTACGATTCAGTTTTGCACATATATTTACATTGTGGACACGGTTTCATTCTCAGACGTAGTCAGCCACTGCTCACACGGCGCATGAAAACGCTCAACTCTCAGTTGATCATATTACCTCTGCTCACCTACTAAATGTTAACCACCTTCACCCTCCTCAAGAGAGTCCATTGTGTAGTGTCAGGCGAGGCGCTCGTCGGGCTCTGTATGATTTGGGAGTATCCGAGCGGTTTTCAGGATGAGAGGAACCCGGCTGTATAATTAGCCAGCGCAAGCCTGTCATTAGCAGAACCCTCTGGAAGACTGCCAGTGCTAATTGTTTGTGTGCTGTCAGTCAGGCCTGTTTATGTTTCCCCTGCTTCCGCGTAGTTTCCTGCCCTGGAAACCTGCCGCCTCTGCCGCTCCATGCCAGTCACCTTGTAGAGGGAACAATGGAAGGTCTATGTGCTAAGGCGAGCCAGTGTTCATGGAGGAAGACTGATGGAGGCAAAGACGAAGGAGGGAGCGGGGTTGAACAAGGGACTTTTGCCGACTTTTCCCACTGAAGGGCCTCTCTGTGCCTTCCCATCATGCTCAGCTGTTGGAGCTGGTCTCCAGACACAGTCACGGTCTATTGGCTTTGCCCTCCTCGGCTTGTAAAAGACTCAGCAAGTGTTCCTTATCTCCCCAGGATGTATTCTCCGTCATTGATCATAATGTGGCCTTTGCACCGCATAAAAAGGTTTACATTGACAGCGGTGTCAGCCCGACATCTTGGCGTACGAGCATTTGCTCTATAAAATGGCTCATTTAAAACTGTCCGACATTTATTTGGCCTTCCTCTTTTCAGACCAGTCAACTTGATGGGCTTTCTGTTTCTGTATTCAAGAAACTAAAGATGATCTTTGGGAATTGTTACCTAGTGTAAAATGTGCCATATCTAGACATAAAGAGTTACAGCTAGTGACGGTTGATATACTTACTTTGCGAACCATGTTTGGTTAAAGTGCATTTGACTGTACAAGGGGGCTTTCCGAGTTTAGTAGATTCTCAGCAATTTCTTCTTTTTCTTTTCCATCTCTCCATCCCATTGAATCTTTCAACAAACATCTTTTTCTATTTTCCCGGATCTGCTTTAAATGACCCTGACTGGAATCAATAAAGAGGAAGGAAATTGAAGATCAAAAGAGATCAACCACAACAAAGGGACTGAACCTTCCATATGGAGACAGTTTGAGGATCATCATTTTAATACCAATAAAAGTTTGTCTGTGGTTCATCCAAACATTAAATATGGTGTGGATGCAATGGATATCCTCAACATCCAAAAAAACATTTTTATATCACGCAACATGCCTTGAAAGTTCATCAGGCTCTGTGTATAAGTGGACAAAATGTGCCCCTTACTGCTAATATCACAACACAAACAGCAACTTTTCATTTTATACGATGTTAAATCTTAAAAGTTGTCAAAGCATTGCAGAGGATTTCGGGTTGCGTTACTTAATCCAGTAATGATCTTGCACAAAAACAACATATGTTGCAGTGTTGAAGCGGGGGGGTGGGGGGAACGGATGAATCCCCCCCAACTGGAAGAAACCTTGGACATGCTCTAGATTCAGTGTGGGCGTGAATCTCCTCTTGATTGAATAGGAAGTGGTCCAGTGAATTAAAAAAATAAGTAAGGATTGCAGTACCAATATTGATAGATGACAGAAATAAATGGAGCTTGTACTAAAATGCCGAAATGCCCCTCAAACTCAATTCAGTTCAACCCAATTTTTTGTGAAAGATTTTCTTGTAAAATTAGTTCTCTACTTAATAGATCCAGTGAGAATGTAACTGATTAATTCCGGGGGTGTTTTATTTATTTATTTATTTATTTGCTTGCTTGCTTGTTTGTTTATGCCACTGAAAGGTGATAGTCGTGCTAAGGACTAATATGGTGATGACCATAGACACCTACATTCAATTTGGTGCTGATTAGCATGAGCATAGTGCTGAAAAGCAGCAGTGATCATGAAGATTTAAATTCTACAGCTTTTTTTTTTTTTTTCCTGGCTGCTCAGCGCCTTATCGCAAAATCTACGGAACACAGCTCAGGGTTGGTGTCATCTATTATGGAAATCAGCCATATGCTGTGTTCATGCAAAGCGACTTGCATCCTCCGAGTGTCATCAAAGTTAAGCTTCCGAACGTGTCATTTGTTTTCACATTTTCATATTGTTTGCGAGCAACTAACAGACAACTTACAATCAGGTCCATGAAAATTCCACATCAGCACTTTGGCTCTGAATACCGGTACCACTTTAAGGGATCGAAAGTAATGGGACAAATTCACAATCATAATTCAAACTTTCGTATTTTTAACACTCTGTTGCAAAACCTTTGCAGTCAATTACAGCCAGAAGTCTGGAACGCTTAGACATCACCTGTCATTGGATTTCATCCATGGTGATGCTCTGCCACACCTCTACTGCACCTGTCTTCACTCCCTGTTTGTTCCTTGAACATTTCCCGTTCGGCAAGTGAAATGCATGCTCAATTGAATTCAGGTCAGGTGAATGTCTTGGCCATTGCAGAACATTCCACTTCTTTGGAAAGTATTTTTTTCCCGCAGTATGTTTTGACTTATTGTCTATCATGTGAAATGCTGTCCGAAGCATTTGGCAGATAGTACAAAAATCAACTTACTGATCTTGTTAGCAGTCACACGATCAATATATATGCGCGGGTGTATTAGTCTCTGGCTGAAGGAGCTGCCCAGTTCTGTCAGGGTGTCCTGGATGGGGTGGAAGGGTCTGTCCATCATAGCTGTTAGCTTAGCTAGCATCCTCCTGTTGCTCACCTCCTCCAGTGTCCAGGGAGCAGCCCAGGACAGAGCTGGCCCTGAGATTTGGCCAAAACTAATTATTCTGCTGTCTCTCTGATGGGTTTGTTTTTGTCTTTGTGCGACTAATGGCGGTTGCGTCACTGACTGCCCCAGCTCAAATGCAAATAGCACGTTTGAAATGAATTCAAGAACTTTTTCTCTGGTCCTTGTAACTTGGGGAATGAGGGAATAACACACATCCAGCGGCGGAACAGCTGAGCAGTCAATTATCCCATTACTTTTGCTCCCTTAAAAAGTGAGAGGCACTTCTACAAATGGTCATTTCTGCATTGTTCTCCTAATTTGGATGTAAATACTCTCAAATTAAAACCGAAAGTCTGTAGTTAAAGCGCATTTGGTTTGTTTGATTTTAAATCCACTGTGGTGGGATTTAGAGCTAAGAAGATGAGAATTGTGTCCCCCAAATTTATGGTCCTGACTAGTTGCTAACTTACAAAGTGTTACTTCAAACACTGCCTGTATAATTCTGAGGTTAGGCATTTGAATCTCATCTCTGGCCTTCCTGGAGTGTACTTTGCATGTTTCTCCCTGTGCTTCCATGGGTTTTCTCCGGGTACTCTTGGCTTCCTCCCGCAATCCAAAACCAGTCAGCTGGGAGAGGCTCCACCTGCGACCCGAAATGAGGAGAATGAAAAACGGACGGATTGATGGGGAAAATTCATTGCATGTTCTCCTGTAAGACATAATACTGATAGTAAATGGAGACTGTGAACCCTGGAGGTGGGGTGTACTCTATATTGTTCGCGAGGTCCTATTAGTCAATGTAGATTAGATGACAAAGTTGCCATGTGCAGCTCATCTTTCACGCTCTCTTGTAGTTCAGTGTACAATGCGCTGTTTGTTCCTTTAGACATTTCCATGTTTCCCTTGCGTGTCTAAACAGCCTCTATGTACACTGGGACTATTACGGCTATGATGTTCTCTCATTTTGGGCAATTGTCCGTTTGTGTGTGTCATCCTTGAGCGTCTTAGGAAACACATCAAAAGCTCCTGCAGCAAACTTTGGGAAGCGTGCGCTCAGCAGAAAGAGCAGCATGTGTTTTTGATTCTCTCCGCGGCCCATAAATGCGCCTTCTGCTCTCCAGATTGTGTTTCTCTAATGGCACCGAGCCACGCAGACGCTTTACAATACACGTGTGTCATGCCTGCTTTCAAAGCGCCTCTGGTTCCGAACGGATCTTAACCACAGATGCAGTACAGGGATGAAAGTGTTGGCATAGCTTGAGAAAAAGGGTGATTATGGTCCTATTATTTGTTTACCATGAAAATGATTGTATATTCTCGGTTACTGTCTTGCAAATTCGCGTTTTAAAGGTTGCGCTAGTTGAAAACCCTATGCAGACCAAAATATGACACTCGACAGCAATTGAAAAAAATCGATGTAAATGTAAAGCTATACAATTTACCCTTCTGAAAAGGCGTTCAGATTTTTGACGATTAATCCAGAAATTTGAATTAATATTTTTCATTCAGTGTCATTTGAATTATGGATTCATTTGAGTTGCTTTATTATTGGAACCTGATTGTTTTGGTGAACATCTTTTATGGTACATATGCAGTATCATAAACAACATGAGGCCAGGTGACTTCGGTTTTTGGTCATTTCCAACCATGTATTCATCTTGGTGTCAGATTTTTATCCTATCCTGTTTACAGTAATCGCGAACAATTTTGAGGTTACAAGCATTACGCAATGAACTACTTTGCGCAGAGGCTTAAGAATACGTCGTCACATGACATAAAAGTTACCACCGAACTTATTGTTTTTCCATTTGACTGTTTTGTATTTTTGGCCTGGAAGTGTTTTTCTTAAACAACTGCTGTTACTATAACTATAGTGCCGCATTAGCAAAGGGGAGTGATACACGACAGCATGTTCAAATTCGGGATGTGTCTCCAGTGTAGGGTAAAAAAAAGTTGTCCTTTGTTAACTCTACTTAATTTATCAACTCAATTCATAAGCAGCGTTTGTAAATTCAAGACCCCTCATGCCCTCCTTTCCCTTCCAGGTGGCGCCAATGTCCGGCAGCCTAAATGGGGAGCTCCTCTTATCCTCTGGCCTCAGCAGCTCTACCGGCCTCTCCGACACACCTCTGCCCCCGAAGGCCCTGGTGCGCGGCAGCATGTCGGTGGCACCGGCTGACTACCCCGAACGGCCTGAGGTGACGCTGCGGAGAGACGTCAGCTCCTCCACCCTGCCGCTGAAAACGGAAGTGCCGCTGCACCTCTTCAGCACCACCAACCAACAGCACAAATTGGTGGGAGTGCAGCAGCAGATCCCCACCAAGTTGGCCGCCCTCAGCAGCGGCAAAGGCAAGGGAGTGAAGAGCGGGAAGGCATCGCAGCGTACCGACAGTACTGGTAAGCAGCCAAGTGGCATTTTGATGCAATCAGCATGTGGCAAGGTGAGCCGCAGGACATCTCCTGATCGGGAATTTGCCATGGGAACCTGCTTATGTCAGCCAGACACTTTGGAAGGACGTTTTTCTCACAGACTTTCGGTTTCCAAGAAGTCCAGTGAAATATGAGGTTTATTTTGGGACACACTAATCTTGTAATAAAAGTGTCCGGAAAACTGAAACGCACACATATCTAAAGGACCTGACTCATGAAAAAAAAAGAGATCATCTATCCATGTAAAATAAAATATTTATACTGTATTTGATCACCAGCCACAGCATTGGGTACACCTGCATGCTCTCTGTGAAAGGAGCCACTAAGGAGGAGCCATTCAAGTATTTATTAATCAAGCAGTTTTTATTCCAGTTGTTGGAGTTTATCACAGACTTTTTGTTTCTGCGCCCAGCGTGTCAAGGCGTTGCTTAAAACATCCTCTTTCACAGGCTTGCTTCTCAGAATTGGAAGTCATTTTTGTCAAATGGAGGCACAATGCTGGTGCGAAAGGCGACCGACATGACCTTTTCATCCAAGCGTTAGTCCTGACAGTGTGTCCGTATACAGTTTGTTGCTCGAAATGAGAACATAATGAAAGGTTGTCCTATTTGCTTTTGACTCTACAAGCTGCAGTTAAATAGAGACGCTACGCTCCACCGCGGTATTACTGAAAATCTCGTCTGTGCATGATGTTTGCTGTTCTAGCAATTGAAAGATTAGAACAGATTTGATCTGCGGACAAATAGAGCGAATGTGGAAAGTAGGGAGAAACGTATGAAAAGCGGAATAAAAATGAAAAGCATTTTGGAGAATGACGTTGCATGAGTTAGGACAGCGGCAGATTTGATTGAGTGACAAAAAGTGCCAACATCAGCACACAACTCGAGACGCTATGCTGAGATGAAGTTTTTTTGGGGGGGGGGGGTGTTGCATCTCAATGAGAGCCCATTAAAACACGTTCACAATCACTTAGCAAGCCAAATAACCTCAGATGCACATAAAATGTGGACAGTTTTTCCGTAATCATTTATGTTATACATAATTATCTTATGTTACATCCCTTATGACATTTATCTGCTTATAGCCTTTACCCAGTTTTCTGCTTTACCATTACAGTATTCCATTACTATGTCATTCTGTCTTTACAGAATACACCCCTCCGTTTCATGCACTTCAGTTGCACACTCCCAAATAGAGCCAAAATAGTTTTTATACACTTTTAATGAATTGTGTTGGTTACGTAAAAAAAAAAAAAAAAAAATCCTGCTTCCCTTCGTTAGCGATAACCAAACTGTGTCAGAGACTATTATCAATTAAGTGGCTCGTTAGAATCACGTTAGCGCTCCGAATTGGGTCGGCCCCCGTGGTTTATCAAATAATGAGAGAAGCTTAAGCTGCTCCAATTTAGTGTTAGAATCCAATTTCACAATGAAACGACCCTCTTAATCTTCACCTCCTCCGCTCCGCCCTCAGCCTCGGTGGACATGAAGCAGATTCTCCCCCTGAAGCTGTCGGCACGTGACGACAGCGCCGTCAAAGCCAAGCGCTCTGTCAGCCCCCACCAGCCAGCGCCGCTGTCTGCGCCTCCTCTGCCTTCCTCCCTCCATCATCACAGAGGTACACGCACACGCACACACTCCCACTCCCACGAACACACTGAGCCGAATGAATTGCCGACCCCACCCATCTTTGTTCTTCTCCCAGCCACTCCCTGTCTAAACATCTATCAGTGTCACATTCTAGTGATGAATTGTAGCCCGGCACGCACATTATAACACTTGAAAGTTATTACCGTACAATGAAAAATAGTTTCAAGACAAGGGGATGAACGACGAAAGATTTCTTGTGGTTGATTGGAATGTGATGGAAATCGACTGATATTTTTCACCACGGAGCAGTTTCGCATAAAGCTATTGTGTATTCGGGCGAACTGCAAGAGAAACAAATGATTAATAATGCAACTCATCATTCCACTGAACGTAGTCGTGGTGTTTAGTTAAGAGCTCTCAAATGAGTAAGATGGGACATCGTTTCCAGGCTTCCCAGAAAAAAAGCATTTCTCTGTTTCATTTAATGTGTTTCACTTGTACTTTTATTGTAATTGAAGATAGACTTGTATGTCGTGCAAGTGACCATGCCTCCAGTCTTCTTTTTTCTCGGGTCTTTACGTAATGGCATGCTGGCCGTTTGCCGTACTGCAACAAGTGTTACGACGCAAGTGATGTTGCTTGCTGGATGTTTTAAAATGAATAAAGTTCTCATTATTACACGGCCGTTGCCCACGCGTTGCCGGACATATTTTGCCGACAAAGATGGAGCTTCACTTGCGCCATGGCCCTCGTGCGTCGCCGTTGGTCCGTGGTCCCGCTCGTATGGATATTTTAAGTCTAGCGGTAATCGGTTCAACTGAAGCTAGCAAGACTAAGTACGTTTTCATGCTCTCTTACCTCGCGAAGATGTTTCACAACTGTGTTTGCCTTGTGGGCCGGACATTCCACTCCTTCGCAGACTGTCGAACTCATTCAGCCCCAAAGACGTATTTAGATGTCTTTTCAGACGCCACACACTTGAAAAGGGCCTGAAAAAGCCATTTTCAGACCCTTTTCAAGTACCGTCAATATAAAATGAGGAGCTGGGATTAAATGTGTGGCGTCTGAAAAGACATCTAAACACGTCTTTGGGAGTGAATGAGTTAATAGTCTGTTAATGGCAGCAGACGGGTGAGAAAGAAAATCGTCTCTACATTGTTGCCCGATTGGAAAACGTAATGCCAATGATTAGTTGAGTAGTACTCTTCAACTAACTCTCATCATAACATTTGTCAAATCAAACCTTTATTATTAGATCACCAGCAAAGTCCTTTGGACCTTTTTGGACCAGATTCTCAATCCAACATGATTAGCGGCAGCCACCCCGCAACAATCCAGAAGCCCCCCGTGCCACCCTCTCAGCCCTCTCTGCAGTCTTCCGTGCAGCCTGCCGCCATCCCGGCCCACTCGCACACCACCGCATCGCTGCAGTTCCCGGCCCAGGTGCAGCCACAAGGCCTTGGCTCGAACCCCCACATGCTTGCGCAGGGCCTTGGCCTCAGTCACAGCATGCCGCTCCCGCCGCCGCCGCCGCCCTACAACATCAACACAGAAGACCTCAACAAGGAAGACGTCATCTTCTTCTAAACTCTACTGAGTCTCTGCTATGGAACAGCCACCTGGTGGTCTCTTTTTTTTTTTTTTTAATACTTGTAGCTCATTTCTAAACCCAAACAAGAGCAGCGCAAGTGTGGCAACCTTGGGCCTGTTGAAATGAACGTACACCAATCCAAAGATGTCAGCCGCTGATTTGAAGACGACACTGCCAGGTGCTGAGGCGTCGAAGAAGGGAGGCGCCGAGGCCCGACTGTAGGAAGTCCCCAGTGATGGAACGCTGTCTGCTTGATGGTTCATTTGCACAGTGTAAATATTCCATACCTGACTCTTGAATGAGCCTTTATGGTTCATTTTATTTTATTTTTTTGTAATGGTTTGTACAGTTGTCAGACTATTTGGATGTTTAGTCACTTCTGTTCTTAATTATGCTTTCATGGAACATTTTATTTGCAGTCAAGTGCTGTTTTCCAGCTCGGACAAGCCCAAAAATGAGCTATTCAGCACATGTTAGACGCCACACCTTGACTCGCTCTGAAATAATTTCTTGAAATCTGCTTTCCCTTCCCCATCCATCCATTAAAAAAAAAAAACTGTTTATTTTGTTTAAGGAGCCCAACTCAGCACACTTAGGCGGTATACCCTTGACTAATCACCTGTCAGTCAATTTTAAGGTTAAATTGAAGTGTAACAAGAACGATTCTGACATCAAATCATAATGTACCTGTTTGATATTATTGCTGTGACAGTGATTGATATTTTTGGTCTACCGCTTCAAGGAAAAATACTTTCCCGTGCTGTAATTCCACCATGCTGAGACTCGCAGGACAAAGCCTGAAGGTCATTACTGCGGACAAGCTCGAAACTGTTTGAACACATTCCTCGCTTCCTCCCACTTTGCGCTCTTCCTCTTTTCTGAGCTGCAGTCACGCAGGGAAGGAGTCTCCCGTTCATGTCTTGGCCTGCTGATCATTTTTCTGTCGGAATGGGGTCACATCTATATCTCACATGTGATGTATGTATGTTGGAACATGGCACTTTTATTTTAAGGTACCAGCTACGGCAATCGCGCGTGTGTGTGATTGATGACTGATGACGTGTCATGAGCAGATACTGTGGCAGAAAGCTGATGTCAGTCTTGAATGTGACTGAAGAAACATGTCGATGTCCATCTCATGACATCCATTAACTTAAGCGGAAATGTCCGTGAATCCCTTCACAGACATTTGTCACCTGTGTATATTGTGTCCATTTGTGTACATATTCTTTTTTTTTCCTCTCATTTTTACATTAGGTACAGACTTTATTTGACATAGCATAGACGGTCAGAGAACTCACGGTCGTTGAAGTTGTTTAAAAAAAAAAGTGTTTTACCGGTAATCTCTTTTGTGTTTATGTAGCATTGAAGTCAAGGTGCACTGCCCACCGTTTTCCTCCAATTCCTCACTCGTGATGTGTCACTAATGCAAAATCCTCTTGCTCAAGTAGATTTCTCTCCCTTGCTGTTATTGTGCTCCCTAACTGATATTCTTCTAAACACCTTTTTTTATTTGCCAAAACGGAATTCACCTGAAGTTTAATCATTGTGTAAAAACTGTTGATCAAGAATTCTTTTTCTTTATGTCGGCAACCATCAAGCGCCCTCATCAGCATTGTTGATGGTTTGGCAAACAAACGTCTCCTGGCAAAGACAACTGGGCTGGCAGCGTCTGTTCATTTTTGTGCTCATCAAACATCCCGTGAAGCCCAAAATGTTTTATAACCTGGCCGCATTTTGAGTTGAAGTGACAGACGCAAGACAGTGGAAGAAAGCAAGGCATTAGACAATAAAACATGAATTACAGGTTTGGGGACAGCCGCATATTGTGAGGAAATGGTAGCAAAAATAATAATAAGAATAATAATAATCATTACCTGAATTGTCGTATGACATTTTATTGTTGTCAAGGTGAATCGCTCTAGCAAGCTTGTGCTTTCCTAACCAGCTTGTTGCGTGAACCGAAACATCTTCGAAGACAACTAGTTCACAAAGGTTCAGTTGGGATCGATTTCATGCACGAGAATGAAATGACCTGGATGAGTCCGAATGTTCACAATGCCGAGAACAAATTGTGAAGAACATTTTTGACTTGGCTTCCCCTTTATGGTAACAGCTTGGTTAAAAACAAGTTACAAGTAGTCTAAAACAAACGTTCTCATCGTAGACAAGCTTTGGTAGGTGGCGGCCATTTTGAAGTGCATAAATGACAACATCACTACGCATTTACCTTAAGACAGAGCCTTCACAGCCTGCCCACTCCGATTGAACCCTTTACATGACATCTGTTTAGAGTGTCAAAAGAAATATGTGAAACCGAATGAAATTCCATTTGGGCTCTGCCTTAGTATTCCAGTTGAGGGGTTTATATTGAGTCTTTCAATTCCATTTGGTCATTCGGTTTCATACTAATCAAATGAAAAGACTCCATGTAAACCAGGCTAGAGACTACCAGGTACTGCTTGTTGTACCCGGATTGCTACTCGTCGCCAAAATTCTTCTAAATTGTCCTGACAACAGAATCATATGACACGGTGAATGAAACTATGCAAATCATCCAAAGGCTAATATGTTTTTTTCATAACTGTTGTAGACAAGAAGTCCGCTGGGACTCCCGACATATGCTATCGCCGATATATTCGATACAATACCGGCAATTCGTTATATAACGTTTTTTGTTGTTTTTTGGTTCCACGGGAACAAGAAAAAAACTACTGTAGTTGTGTGACAAGTCTTAAACGCGGATCTGTTTAAACATCATGTTTGTTGTCATTTTGAAGCCAGCTTGTTCCATCACTGTACCGTTGCTCACCAACACACACTTTTAATCCTTTTTTTTTTTTAAAATTCTCGTGTTGGACCTTTCTAATGTGTGAAAAATTGTATTTCCTCTGACAACTTTTACACTAGTCACTTTGGAGAGTAGCATACTTGAAGGGGAAAATGAAAACGATTGTCATAAGGCTTATTTTTATTCTGACTGCGAGTTTGTATTTACCAACGGCTGTCTGATGGCATTAGTTCGTGCACAGCAAGAGTTTTTGTATCATTTTTATTTGATTCACTGCTAGAGGTTAAAAAAAACATGTGGATACTGACTGCTGCCTTAGACGAGTTTTAGTATTAAAACAAAACAAAAAAAAATAGTACTAAAATGCTTGTGTGAGTGTGTTGGTCTTGTTTTCCCCAACAGCGCATGCGACCGAATCTCTTAAATTGCGCAACTTGTACATGATTGTGCTACGTGTCACACTGCATCATTATTTGGATGTCGTGTAAAATAATCCAGACCGCCCACTGCCTGAATGTCACTCTTAATACAGATAAGACTGCGGCAGCAGACAAAACCTCCAAGTTCAAGTGTGGTCCTGGTGGTTCGCTTTAACCAGTCAAGTATTTTTTCTGTGTGTGTGTGTGTGTGTGTGTGTGTGTGTGTGTGTGTGTGTGTGTGTGTGTGTGTGTGTGCGCGCACGCATGAGTGCCAGTCTGTCTGTGCTTTGTTGTTATTTGAACGTGTGTATGTTAGTGTCCTGGCCAGGAGGTCACTGCAGCGACTTTTTTGTTATTTTTTTTTTGTATTGTCTGCTATCATTAGTGGCTTTCCTCTGGTCTGCTCTCAACGATTATTATTCCAGGCTGTTTCCTCCCTGGAGGGAAGCAGCAGATTCCTTGCTGTGTCTCTTGGGCTGTTTGGACCATGACGTCCAGTCTCCGTGTCTCTACGCTCAGGCGACTTCCATCTTAACAGTTCACTCAATAACAAAACACACAAAGCCTTTCAAGTCCACGTGATGGCTTAGACCAGGGATGGGCAACTCCGGACTTCGAGGGACGCTACCCTGCATGTTTTCGATCTCTCCCTGCTGCAACACACCTGATTAAAATGATCAGGGTCTTTATCAGGCTCCTGCAGAGCTTGCAGATGAGCTGATCATTTGAGTCAGTTGTGTTGGAGGAGGGAAACGTCTAAAACAATGCAGGTGAGCGGCCCTCGAGGACCGGAGTTGCCCACCTCTGGTGTAGACAGATATGAGTTGAAAGCCAATGACATTTTTCTAACCATCATCCAAGTGGAAAAATAAAATTGAGGCTATGGTGAAGTGAGAGGAGGAGCTTGATTTCATTCGACCGTGACCTTGTCTAACATGAAAGCCGTGCTGAGCCACCATTTTATGTTCTCCATTGGAAATGACAAACCTTTTTGGCTGGGCGTGATTTATTTGGGGATTTTCGGTTTTCACGCCAGGGCTCTGTTCCAATCCCCTGTGAATAATGGGGAAATAATATCACAGTCATATCAGGGCTTTTAATCGGTTTCAAACTAAGATAGAGAGGAGTAATAAATTTAACCATGTTTGTTCTATTGGAACTAAAAATGATACTACCTAATTTTGTTGCAAATTATAGTGTGAACACTGGCTGTGTGTATCGAACATTTTAGTGCAATACATTTGCGTTTAATCTTACAGAACTCTTTTTAAACTTCAGGTAAATTGAACCTTTTTTTAACATATAACTTCTTATGTGCAACACATTATTTGAATCATTAAGTAGTTTTATTTTCATATATTCAAGATGTATCATGTTTAAACTGTCTATAATGTTCTGTGACGTACATTAATGTTAAATCTTTTTTAGAATAAAACTTTTTTTTTTTTTTTTTACTTTAGGCCTACGACGCAACTGTATGCTATTGTTGCTCGTGATGGTAGATCTTGGAGACCCAAGTATTTTTTTTTTTATGCCGCTGGCTTCGAGCATCTGGCCCAACTTGAAGTTGTATTTTCAGTCACTACATTCTCACACAATCGGAAGTCAAGCGCTTTGTTCCAGCTGCGGCTGTTATGAATGCGCTGTATAAATAAAGATGTATTGAACTCTATTTTGACCCTCAGGGCGGCCTTACCTCCTCACATCAAACCTTCCCAGTAAACCGCTACGGAATTCTGAGGAATTTAATGTCGCACAGTTAGCCGGGAGTTATTCCACGTCTGAGCCTCCTCTGGCCGCAAAGTTAAACAAACAGATGCTCCGCAGAGACAGACGTACACACACGCACACACACGTCTTAGTTTTTGTCTGACACTTGGTTTCAATTTGGTTTCTCAGCATTTGGGAACCTCATATTTTATAGAGTATTCTATAGTTTGACACTATGGTGAAACAAGATAAACATTATCCTACTTTGTAAAACAAATACAAGTGTAATCAGAGCGCACACCAAGGCTGTAAAATGAATGCATGAATTAGGATCTGAAAAACCAAAAGAGCCGGATTCTGAATTTCTTCAGGATCTAAAGTGATTAGATGTAATAGGATCCCAAATAATCTTAACAAATTGCAATCTTGTGTAATGAGATTAGAGCAGCTCTTAAATAGCGGACATTTTTCCAAGGACCCCCTTCATAATCCGAATGCCAGTTAAATATAAAATAATCTTGTGTATCCATAAATGCTATGAAATTGTTAACTTGAACATTTCAATCTAAATATTCATCAGTTCTTTTGTACAGTTGAATGGAAGTTAACCACATTGAATTCAATCTTTATCTATCATTGCCGAAGCTCCAGTCCCCAATTATACACAATTGACACAATAATTTTCCAGACACGGACTCCAGTTTGAGAACCTTTACAGTTCTGAAGAGCTTTTAAAAAAAAAAAAACTACTCTATTCCAATAATGAATATAAAATAAATAAATAATGAAAATAAATCACTTCTCAGATGCACTTTATACATCAAGTTTTTCAACACACTCTAAAACGATAATAACAACACACGACAACCTGCGTGCGCTAGAGCTAACGCTCGCAGTGGAGGATCTGAACCCTTTAGTTGGACTTACAATTTATTTCAAGTTCTTCTCATTGCATCCCTTGTTGCGGCTTCTTTTGTCCTGTGGGTCCTCAATCTACAATGGAATTCCGTTCCTGCAGCAGCAGTAGTTTGTACATAATTCGGACCACGTCGTAGTTTATCACTTACCGATGCTAACGCTGTAGTGAACTCACGATTGCTCAATATATCGTCTACACTCAGGGGTGTCAAACTTACGGCCCGCGGGCCCCCAAGGAGTTTCGATCTGGCCCGCAGGATAATTTAAAAGTAAAATTAAAAAATGCATTAAAGACACAGAATGAATATTTTTAATAAAATGCAAGTCGTTGATTATCCGCTAGGGGGCACACTGTTTTGATCAGAGAAGAAAACAGCAGTCTCAGTCTGTCACTGAGACAGACCCAACACATCAGACGGTATCAATCCGCCAATGCTTGTTTATACCAAAACAAAGGAAAGATATGATATTTTGGTTATTTATATTATATTTATAGCAGAGTTAATGTTAATGGCCTGGACCACTTAACATCTACCGAGTCCATATACAATTTGAAATGAGTTTGACACCCCTGGTCGACACAAAAAGGTCATAAATAACTCCTCATGCCACAGACCGCGCATTCTTACATTGTTGCGCAAACTACTTCATTGTACACATTTTTAAATCTTGAAATGTCGTCTGCACCCTTTTTAGCAGAGAAACCTCCTTTATTAGAAAGGCTCGTCAAAACATTTGATATTTGAACACCCCATGAACTGAGATCACACTTGATGACCCCACATTTGTTTCCCAAATACTACAGTCACCGGCACTGTACACACATCTGACCATGTTATTTCAGTGTTCAAGGATTCATTAAGATGGCTTCAAAAAATACATAAATAAAAATTCTGTCAACAGTCGATTCCCATGGGCACTTAATGGGAGGAGAATTTCCACCCACTCCGTTGTTTATGAAAAAAGTTAAACATATTACCGTATGACGGATGTGTGGGATCGCTCCTCTTTATTTTTGCCCTAGGCGGAGCATTCTTGACTAATTGATCAAGGGAGGTTATGAAGGAATGTTCTGGGTGGATGTTTTATCTCAGCGCTGTTGACATTCGCACACACACACACACACACACACACACACACACACACACACACACACACACAAGGCTGCACCCTACCTCCCCCCCACCCCCTCTCCACTAACATTCAAGGAGGTGATGCCACAAAGATAAGCAACAGTAAGAAATGACTTTCGGAGACACTCCTTATGTAACCTCAACTGACTGGCCTGTGTGTTCTTAGCCAGAGATAAGGCCTTTTTGTACAACGTCATCACATTTAACCGTTTTTTTTTTTTTTTTTTATGGTCCAGTCGGTGTTACTCGTTAATGTGTCTGTATTTATTGCAGCGCGCTATCGTGCGGTCTGATTCATTGATTCATAGTTCAACTAGGCATGAATGAAGGTCTTTGTTGACCTTTCATGTTGCGGCAACAAAAGAAGCCGGGCTCTGCAAGAGAGAAGCCAACAAGGAACAACAGTGTTGATTGCCGCTGCTGATGAATGTGGCACCGCATAATGCCCCAAAAGTGGTATAATTCAGAATTCACACTACATTTTCTGGACAAATTCATTGATTTTCAGGTCGATTCAGCTTTTGGGTCAAATTCCAGGATGAACCTTAGGTGCACTATACCATTTATAGGTGAACTGCATTTGTTCGAGTGTTTCACGTTTCAGTGCTTTATGCCCAACTTGTTCGCCAACAAGGAGCTGGAACTGCAAAATTCACAACAGAATGGACCAGCACATTTCCTAGTTCAATTCAAATTGGTAAACAGCCCTCTTCATCATTCTGTCCACATTTTGATGTCATGAGACCAAGACAACACCTCAAAATTGCGGTTCAGTACATCGCTATTACGAGATTTCAAACAGGATGTTCTCCGAGGAAAGTGAACGGAGGAGTCACAGAAAAGAATACAAGCGGACACCCTCAAAAATGTCTTGGTGACAACACTAGTCTTTACAGACTTTGTCCAGCACTGAACCAAAATCCATCAGGTTACCCAACCCTACCCCAAGACCCGCCACTTTAGAAGAAAATTGCAGATGTCTTCTTTCCCAATTTCTAAATGAGCTCCCTCGCGATCAAGTACAATTCCCGCAAGTAACTGTTGACTAATGTCAAAGTTTTAAAACAATTAGCGCAACCACCGTGTTGGACGGTGAAGGCAGCTGTCCGCAATTTGAAGCATTTTCCATCTGTGTTTGAGCATGCAGTGTGGGAGGTCTCTGTGGCATTCTCTCATACACACACACACACACACACACACACACATTATTGCCACTATCACAGTTGTTTTAGAGCGTTTCCTTGAATCCATGTGTCAGTTTTTGGCAGAAAAGCATGCGCATGTACATGTGGAGCAAAAGAGTAGAAAAGGCTTACAGGGACGTTCACAACCTACCTGTTGTTTGACTCTCGGGAGGTTGGAGGCATCGCTGCAAAGTGAAGCAGATGCACTTTTGTTGCTCGGTATGCTCCAAAGCGCCCTTGGCGAGGAGTCGTTTCTCTTTTTGCAAGAGTGACGCCTCAGGTGGTGCACTTTCTCTGCAGCGTGAAACCTTTCGGGGTCTTCAGAAATTCGCTGGGGTTTTGCGCGCTCACGTGGAAACCCGTCGGCGCTGCCTTTTTGTTATGCATTGGCTTGGCTAAAGCGGGAGAGAAAAGAGGAGTGTAAACCGGACGCCAAAAACCATCGAGATCCAAATTGAGCAGTAAACGGACAAACGGTGACTGTGCACGGCCTCCTCTGCACTTCCTTCTTTTGTGCCGCGGTGGATGAGGAGCCAGTGTAGTGTGTCTCTACAGGAGCGGGGGAAGCTGAAAGCGCACTCTCTGATTTAGGAGCAAGGTTGGCAATGCTCAATGACTCTCTTGTTGCTTTATTAGGGGGAGTAGGAAGGACCCGACCAAAGGACATAAAGCGCGCTAAAAGCTCCCTTGCCACCAAACAATCAGGTTCGGTTCATTTCAGTACAGTATGCATTTTTTCCATCCACCCATCCATTATCATCCGCTCATCCAGGTCCAGTCAGTCCAAGTCATGGGGCAGCCGTCTTAGCAGGGATGCCCAGACTTCTTTGGCATTGCTGAGGTGTTCCCAGGCCAGCTGTGAGACTCCTTTACAAATGTACTGGAACGGGGAGGACAATTCGTCTCCTTTTGTAGACTGAAAACGTTTTGTTTTGACATCAAAGGATGAATAGGAGAGCAACATTTCAGTGTTTATTTCCTGTGATTTACATCTGAATGGGATAGCACCCACCCATGTTCCACATGTCGAAACGTGACTGACAGGCGAGGCCGAACCATTCATTGAATTCAAGTCCGACTGACTTCTGTGTAGGCCGCACTTGTTTTGTAGAATTTGTTGAACTTGTCGTAGTAACCAGTCAAAAGACTGCAAGTCAATGTTTGCTAAGAGTTCAGTTAGATAAGATAAGAAACCTTTATTAGTCTCGCAATGGAGAAATTAACAACTCTAATTGAATTAGATAAACTGTCCATCCGTCCATTTTCTAATCCGCCGATCGTCACGAGGGTCGCAGGCGTGCTGGAGCCTATCCCTGCTGACTTCGGGCAGGAGGCGGGGTACATCCTGAACTGGTTGCCAGCCAATCGCAGGGCACACATAGACGAACAACCATTCGCGCTCACACTCACCCCCGGGGAAAATTTTGAGTGTTCCATTAACCTGCCATGCATGTTTTTGGAATGTGGGAGGAAACCGGAGGACCCGGAAATAACCTACGCAGGCATGGGGAGAACATGCAAATTCCACACAGGAAGACCGGGGCGGGAATCAAACCCTGCATCTCTGCGCTGTGTAGCGGACGTGCTAACCAGTTGACCACCGTGTCAGCCTCGATAAACTGTCCTCTATTTTAATTTGTGGTGCATTTGTGTAAATTGTGCCGCCCAAAGACGTTACTTTTTCCAGAGTGTAGCCATAGCTAGCTAGCTAGCTAGCTACATGCTACAGTTGGTATGTAGTGGAGGAAGGGCGACTCATGCTGTATGCCCAAGGGGGGCACTGGGTGCTATTTTAGCCACGCCTTCCAAAAATATGTCTCATGCTCTAATTCCACAAGTGAGTACTACACAGTTCTCAGGCTTTTCCCAGCAATTATCTTCAAACACATTTAATGTATTTTGAAACACATCACACTGAATTCACAGGAGAAGAGAAATGTCAATATAGTGAGTCAAGAGGCAGCCCAATATTTGATCAACCTTGAAGCCATCATAACGATCAAAATTTCCACAGCATTTTCTTGAATACGCTCTCTTTTTCATCACTTTTTGAGACAAGGCACATAAATCACAAGAAATATGTTCCCTGAAATGGTAGAGCGATGTGCAAATACGCTCCAACAGTGCCAAATTAAGCGTAAAATTTCACCTTTACCCAAACAGAACACTGAGTTTGGGTGCTACGTTCCTTTTTAATTCACGATACACTGTCAGAGTGGTATTCACTTATATTTCTATATTCACGCTTCAACTGTGATTCATACTATATAAGTGTAGTTAGTGAGCTCGCAGTGTTGAGTCGGTGCTATTGATGACATCTAGTCGGTCTGCTCAGAGGGAAAACCAAATGAATGATGACTCATGTTTGGATTCATTTGTCGTCCTCCGCAGCTTTCAGGTGTCATCAACTGTGAGGAAGTGGATTAAATAGAATAATACAATTATGTGTCACCAAGTCCAATGAAAAGCACTGTGGTGTAAGGAAAAAAAAAAAAAAACCTGTTCCACCACGAAGCCAGACCAGTGCGTTGTCGCCGGCTGCCGCCTCTTCCTTCTACACCCGTCTTGTTTTTATGTCTGTCACCTCATACTTTTCGATTTCTTTTTTTTTTTTTCTCATTTTCATCATTCCTTTGTCTGTCTGTCAAGACTCAGACAGACAACGGAGGCAGCGGCTAGATCAGAAATAGCAACAAACCTCTGCCACGGTCCCAGACTGCTTTCCAGCACATAAATCATTCATTGTTTAGATCAAGCCTCAGCTGAGCCCTCATCTTTTTCTTTTTTGTTTGGAATATCCAAAGCAGAGGAAGCCTTGCGCCGAAGGTCTTAGACCTCCATTAAATTTGTCATTTTTGCCTGCGACCGTGTATTATTATTGCTCAGGCTCTTGTAAAAATATGAAAGGGAAATACTGCGTGCATTTTTGGACGTTGTGTAGCAGTTTTAGTCACGTTGCCGCCACGACTGGTTTTCAGGCCAGGAAGGATGCAAACCTTCCACAAGAATACGAGGGCATCTGGAGCCTCAAAGTGGAACTTTTCTGACGGTTGATGTTTGGCATGTTTTATGAGGGTTTGGCCAGGATTGACTTCGGCTAAGGCTTTAAGAGAGGTTTGGTTAGAGTTAAGGTTTTGGTTACGTGACTGTTAGGTTTTGTTTTGGTCCAGGTTTTGGGTGGCATTTTGGTTCAGTTTAGGGGCTTTGATGAGAGTTGCGGTTATCTTGCGGTTTTTGTTCATGATGCGAACACTCAATGTGTCAGAAAATGGGGATAGAGGATTATTTTTTTTCATTTATTCTTTTCATTTTAAAACATTATTCTGATTGCAAGTTGACAGAAGGGTTGTACACACCTAAAAGTTGTATGCGCCATTTGCCTCAAAGTGTGTTTGTGTGTGTCATCCAGCACGTGTCTGCTTCATTCGTTTTTGAATGAGGTGATTGGGTGGGGTACATGTCAAGCGGCCCCCTCCATCCCCCCCCCCGACCGGAGCAGATGCTGCGGACGCGTCCGGGTATCCCTCTTTTGTATTATTCATCCTCTGTGTCACATCTCATCTGAGGTGGTCAGCCGGACATGATGACACACACTGACGACACATGCTCACACACACACTGTGTTATCTTGAAAATTCGGTTTGGTCTCAGTAGGGGGTTTTCCCCATGTGTCACACTCGAGCTCATTGTGACGCGTTTTATTAACTCCAAATGTGGCAAAGTCGGGCTCCCTTTGATTGACAGGATGGGTGTGCGTGTATTAAAATGCATGCGTGCAAGTGCGCGCGACGCCTCAGGCAACATATCAAACCCGACTATGGCGCTCCTCCACCCCAGCTGGGAGCATGTCTGTATGTTTTATTAATGAGAATAAGCGGAAGTGTCGATTAAGCGAGCAAAGTGCGAGCACAACAAAGGGCTTTTGTGTGCAAGAGGAATGGAGTCTTTTGAACAAAGCGCATGAATCAAAGTATGTCGGCCTCGCCGGGAATGCCCACCGACTCGCGTTTGTTGCTCATCAGCTGTTTTCTATGGATGGGAGCTTTTGTGCGCTTGCCTGTTCTCATCCAGCAACGGTCCTCCCACCTGTGTTTGCAAGGAGGGAAGACAAAAGGATGCCCCACATTCGTGAAATTGCACGTTGTTCCAACACCGGGGATTTCACTCAGTGGGATTTGAATCCGAAGGCAAATAGTGAAAATAGTTGGGATGTGCATTTGCATATTTGAGTCACAAATCACCAGAGAGCCCTCATCTCCTCCCCGCTTTCAGTTGCTGGCGAATGAATCTGCTGTGCTAGGAAATTGATGTTTTGTCACACTCAAAAGTAATAAAAGTAACAGTTGTTGTGGGGGTTGGGGGGGGGTTACTTGTTATGAGCAGGTCATTTATCATTGTTGTGGGGGTTGGGGGTGGGGGGTTACTTGTTATGAGCAGGTCATTTATCATTTTAAATTGAATAAACAAGCTACCGGTAAATTTTTTAAAAAATCAATCCAGTGACCTGTTCATTAAAATTTCTTGACGCTAAAAAGAAAACAGAATTTAACTACAAATATCAATAACATAAATAAAAATGATTTTTTTTGTGTTTTCTCAGATTACAACACCAGCTGTGAGTAACAATGTGGGTATGACTGGAAAACTGAATAGACCACCACTGGGCATTGGGACAGCGCCGGCTCGCAAATCGCAAAAATCCGTAAATAATTGACGGCCATTCAATTGGATTAAATAAAAGACGGTTTTCTTCAGGCCTAAAGATTCTTGAGTAAGTGGGGATGTGCCGCCAATAAGCGTTTTTACTGATTAGGCCACGCCTCTTTAAATCACACCTAACACTAATATCAGTACGTCCAGTAATTATACTCACACGTACAGTAGTCTCTATACGGTGCTATATTTTAATGATACAAATCATGGAGAAAAAAACATTTATTTGCAGGGGTGGAACAGATTGACATTTCACTTGAGTTCCGTGCTTGGTCATGGCATATTTGTTATGGAAAAAAAACCTAATATTAAATCCCCAAAAAATTGAAGGTCAAACCACATCCTGGAATGGATTGCTTTTTTTATCCTTAGATGTTCCACTCTAGTAGGAAACTATCCACAAAAATCCTTTTAAGATGCTTAAATGTGTGATGAGAAGGAACATTATACGGTACAACAGTCACTATATGAATAAAATGATGCACATTTGGTTTTACATTTGGTTTTACTCTTCCGTTTTTGGTTTTATGAGTGGTTTCCAATGTGACTAGCGAAGAGACATGTTTTGAACCGAAAGTGCAGAAAAAAACATTCTCAAGTGATACACTTCAACATCAACCCACGATTGGACCCTTTCTTCACACTCTCTGGCTTTGTGGCACGCACACACACACACACAGCAGACACGAGACAAGTCTTCTTTCGCTCCACTGGTCATGCTGCTGACAGTCTGTCTGTCTCAGTCTGTTTGCTCCTCATGACTTCACTGGGAGACCTCAGCATGGGGGCAGCGGGGGTGTTTGAGCAAATGTTGGCTCCCAAACATCCTCCTGCAGTGCATTCGCAAGCATCTCGCAGTACAGTTCATTAGTCCTCTGGTTTGAATGCGTCATGAGGAAGGCGATGATTGCCATGAAGCTTTTTCATATTTCAAAATAATCTCTGCCCAGGTAGATGATAAGTTGACTGACCTGGTATTGATTGGTTAGATGTGATTTGCGTTACTACAGTTTTTCAACAGAACTTTTAGAGTATTATTGTTCCACGTCAGCAGCACGCTGGGCTCGGTGGTTATCACGTCTGCCTCCTGGTTCTGACGTTGCAGGTTCAGATCTTGTCTCGGGCTCGTATACTGCTTCTGTCTCGGCTTGTCAGCATGCAGTTATATCTGCATCTCTTCGCTGAAGATAAAAATTCTGTATTTGTCGTATGTATTGTTTTATGGTCTCTCCACGTGTTATGTTGCACCATGTGTTCAGATATCCGTTGCTTGAAGAGTAACTGCAGTGCCGCACAAATGCTAATTATTTGCTTGGGTGCCTCGGGAGTTGCCCATTGTATGTTAGCATTAAGATAATGGTGGCCATGTGGTTGTTTTAAATACGCAAGATGTAATGAGTGACCCAGCAATGATGGCTGCAAGGTCCCCGTTGTTGCTGTAGAAATGATTAATTGTTATTCTCTTTAATAATTCACATTTTTGAGTGCCTAAACATAAACAAAAAGTCACCAAACTTTGCACACATTATTGGGCCTTGTGAAAAATTTGATATTCTATGTAGTGGTATTTCTAGCTCCCATCAATTTGAAAGCTGTTGACCCCGCAACCCGAGACCGGATAAGCAGTAGAAAATGGATGCTCTAGCTCCCATCAATTTGAAAGCTGTTGACCTTGCAACCCGAGACCGGATAAGCAGTAGAAAATGGATGGATGGGCATTTGGACTCTTACCATTTCATTTCTGTTGTTGTGTGAAACTGCCGGTTGCCGGTCAATCAATCAAAGGACTTCTCACGGTAACTTCTAGTCACAAACGAATCATTGTACAATCGAGTATAGCATCGTGGAGACTCTTTAGTAAAATACTGCGGCCTCCTACCAAACCCTATTCGTGATTTGTGATCTGGGCGTGGCAATTTTACTCCACAGCCTCCTGTTGCTGCAGCTTGTCTCCTCTGGAGACTCATGATCTCCTCAATTCATGTTGTTAAGTCTCGTTCCAACTGATGTGTTTAGTGCGGCGTGGTTTTTTTTTTTGTAATTTCCTGAAATGGAAAACCAACCACAACAAACTAAGGCAAGTAAAGCTGAGTCGATACTGTGCTTGTGCTCTTGGCAAAAAAAGTGCCCAGGCCATGTGGTTTTAATAATGCACTCGAAGTCCATTTCAGGCCTACACAAAAAATAAAAAACAACAACAAAAAAACCATGTTCCACAAATGTCATGATACAGTCACAGAATTGGCTGTAGTTGATTTAAAACTTGTGTTTAACCTTTTTCCACTGTAAGGAACTATCCAGAAAATCAATTTATTAAGATTAAATGCACACTGAAAAGAACAATATCCCGTACAACATACAGTAGCTCTGAATAAAACACTCGCACATTTGATTTTACTGTTCAGATTTTGGTCATATTGTCTAAGTAGTTTCGATATGGTGCTAGCTAAAAAGCACAGATATGTTGTTTCATTACAGATATCTACAGTATTTTAAAAATGTAGGGACCTCATGTTAGTTACTTCTCACCACTGCCCCCACCTCTGTCGAAGGAGAAATGATTAAATGCGTGCTTGCCTCATACAGCGCCAAAAGATCCTCTTTGGGCCATTACATGCTGCATGATGCTTCGGAATAGGACTAACCTGAACATCGCATAGCTTCTTACCCCAACAATACAAGGACATGGCATACATACAGTATATGGCAGATAACTTCTGAACAGCATGTGCAAAGACTGACAATGATGTAGACCTCGGTTGTGAAGCTAGAGCCTTAAACTGTTTTCACCGGTTCAGTTTTTCAGAATTTTTGGGGGGGCCGTGACGCACTTGAGCCCACTGGGAGGCATCACCCATCCCCCACTGTATTCGACCTTCAGCAGTTATCCGGCGCATTTACGACATGCAGTTAGCTGGCTAACTATGCCCACACTCGGAAATATATCTTCACTTTGGCTCGTCCGCTGAAGTGGCTGCTTTAGAGTGCCTTGTTGTTGGACATCAGTGCGCATGTGTGACAAAAGGAAGACGGAAGAGCGAGAGGAAAAAAAATAAATAAATGTGATGTGGCAGCCAGTGTGTGAACCGAAGTTTCATTCTGGCATGGCTTTTTTAGAACGCCTCATTGTCACTGCGTGGAAAAGTCTTACGATGACCCGAATGGATATATTCCAGTCACTGGAGACTTTAAGCGAGAGACTTCACTTAGACTTTAAACTTTATTTACATGGTTGAAATGTGCAGGTAGCTATGTGTAGGCATAAAGTAGCGAAGATAAAGTAGCATCTGTCTTGGTTGCAGCAGTGGTATTTGATTGACAGTTGACAGTTTAGCGGGTCATGGTTTTATGCATTCTGCAGACACACCCACAGCGTCAGAGAGCGGAGAGAACAGCCGGGCACCATCAACCCGAATTTCCATACTGTGCTTGACCCTCTTGCCGCCAAGCAGACTTCCACCATTGACTCGAAGTTAGAAGACATCAGACACCCAATCAGCTTTGGCCAGAAGGTGCACATTGATCCGTGGATGCGTCCCACGGGCACTAAGCCCCCCCC